AGATATTCTCATGACCTGCAGGCAAGTGACAAAGTAAAATCAGGGACTCTTAAGACCATCATTCAGCCTTTATCTAGCCAAGAAAAAAGTAAAACCTAAGGTTCAGAAGTACTTCTACATACCTAAAATAAAAAGCATTTACGCATAGAGGAATACAATTCCCAGGTCCATTGCAAAGAACCTAGATGGAAAGGAATTTGATAATCAGTGATTATAAGATTTAAGAAATGTTAAGTAACATTGCAATAACTACACAGAACACAAGAGGTAAAAGGTCAAAGCTAATACCACTTGTGGTTGATTCTAATCATTAGCCACAGTGCTGAGCAATAGCAAGTAAAGTTGTCCAAACAGCTTATATATGATTGACCAACTTCCCTGCTTCTGTAGATCTGCATGAACTGTAGAGGATCCCTTGACTACATTCTGAAGATAAACAAAAGCCAATTAAATGAAAAAGACTTAAATTAGAATGCATGATTTGGAAGAAAAGACAGCAATACCATAATCAGGTGCATACATGTGATGCAACTTTTAAGTGAAATGAATGCATTTATGTATCCATTAACATCATCCAGATAACAGAAAAAAAATTTTCTTGATTCCACCATCACATGTTAATTAGACATTACACAATAGAAGTTCGTAATATCATGCATCCAAAAAAGGCAGAGTGTGACAACTTGATGACTGATATCAGTTATTTGCATATACAGTATATGTAAATAGAGAGCAACACATAAAGAGAACTTCTAAACGACCACCTATATAACAGATGGTATACAATGTTTCAAGGAGTTCCTACCAAAGCTTGAGTCACTAACTTGGAACTTTTGTTTTCCTTCAGAAATCCCCTAAAACCAGTAAGCAAACTCACCTAAATCAGTCCCACAAACTCAATCTAAAAATTCTATCGGACTACTCCCTAACCAATTTAGGGGTTCTAGCATCATGCTAAATCATTTGTTTTCTGATGAGCCACTTGGGAGGTTGGTCTACAGTAGGAAGCGTAGAGGTGAGAAGTAGAGGAATATTTGTTATGCATGAGTGTTAGGAGTTGTTTTTGGGAGGACAGGTGGCTTAATGAGATTGGAAGGATGAAGAATTGGTTATGAGCAAAAGGTGTCGGAATAAAAGTGACGGACAGAGGGAATTGAGGGATATTCAGAAGGAAGGTTAAGGTTTAGAAGGGGAGGTGACTGCCCTTGAAGTTCAGTCTCTATCTTTGTTTTTGCTGAACTTAGAATTGTTCCATTTTGCTGCTAGATTGCTGGGTAGATGACAGAACATGATCTTCTGGATGTACTGTTGTTTTAACATCATATAGAGTTTATTTCCTTTTTCTTTTTGTGCAATTATGGGATAAAAACGCACAATTTAATAACAGAATATACCTTATGAACCAAGAATCCTCAAAACGCGAGCCTTTTGAAGACTCATATTATCAATGGCAACAGCAATGTAAAAGCGCGGCGCAAACCTGTCCATTGCAGTACCGATAAGAGATTATCATCTCCGCGTGTGTCCGCCTTCACAAATTCAATTGACAATAGAATCTGATGAATATAATAATAAAAAAGAACAGCAATTTGATTGGTTTTAATTATATCAAATAGACTCACTTAACCTAAAACAACGAGCGTTGAGAGTGGCTAGGTTTTCCCGTTAAATAAAGAATGTAAAGAAGACGAATTATGAAAATTGTAACGCTAATGGCAACGAATGCCATTATGGACCGGCAACAGTCGTTCAGTTTCTCCATCGCCGGAATTTAATTTAAGTTGACAAAGGTTTAAGTCTTTGAGGTTGAAACTGTCACCTTCTTCAATTGTTAAATTAATTGCAAATTTAAATAACTCTTCCTTCCAAGCAAACCGCTAACTTTGTATAACAGTTGAATTCCATAAGAATTTCGCAAACAATCAAACAAAAATTTAGAACAAATGAATATGAAAAACCAGTATGTGGCAATTAGTTTAGTTCTCTCCATACAAGGAGAAAAGCATAACCAAAATGAAATTGGTCACAGAGCCTTTTCATGGTTTTAGGTTAATACTAAAGCAGAAACATGTATATACATATACATTACATGAAAGTTTCACATTAATTAATAATTATACAATAAGCATCAACTAACATTCATACCTTCCGGCATTCTGCAATATCAGGAGCTCTTATACCTGCAACAAAACAAATATAATCTATGTTTATGGAGACAAAATGTTAAGCAATTGAAGAAATTGAAAAGGGACACACTGTGCCAACCTCCCAACTTGACGCAACTAGTAATTATTTAGTATAACTTCACAATAACGTTCGCAACATGTGCTATCTTGTACCAATCTTCTCCTGTTTCCTTCTCACATCGCTTCACTAGTTCAGGGCATTCGGATATGAACAAATTTGTAGATTGGTCAAGCTCTGGATGCTGGCTGGAAGAGATGACAACTTTGGGCATTCATAAATATTCAAGACTGAAGAGATGTTAGGTCTCCTGGCCAGTGAGGCAATGATGCTAGTTCAGGGTACCGGCATATGCTCAATTTTTGCAGTGCAGGGACATACCTCATGGACAGGCAGCACTGTCAACTTTGGACAATTAATGTGTTCTTTGCCACATTCTGTTGCAAGGTCAAGCCACAAATCCCATCGCGAATGATGCGGGTTCGCCACCATTGTCAACTCACGGAGGGAACTAAGGTATTTGACACTATCGGAAAAGTCACCAACTCAGGGCAACCATTAAGTGTCAAGCTTTCAAGGGCGGAGGATGTCGTAACCCCTCTGACAAATTTGAGAACTTTATGCACATTCTAAAGTCAAATGCTGAAGAGAGTTTAGGCCTTCAGTACTTGCTCCGGAAAAGCCTCAAGCTCAGGGCATTCAGAAATTGTTAACGATTTAAGACCACTAGAGCTAGCTTGATCTGTGGCAAACCCTTAAGCTTTTTGAATCTTATAATAGACATTCGCGAAGAGAGGAGAGATTTTGCAGAATCCATGGGAAGGTAAACTAAATCGCAATTTGTATCAAGTTTTAGGTAAGTAAGGCTTCTGAAAGTGAGATTGATTTTAGAAGTTCCCCATTGCAGGAATAATCTGTAAACTTTTTGCTGAAGGAAGGCATGGCAGGGTTAATTCAGGGCTAGTAAATTTCTAGCTCCGTAAGACATGAGAATAACTCGTTCCATCCTGTCTTGACAACCTTTGCAATCTCAGACATCTATGATAATGAGTTCCTCCAAAGACAGGAATTTTCTTTCACCTTGGAAACTTGCAACAATGTACTCTAGGTTAATCAATTTTCAATTGTAAGATATCGAAGCCGAGGAAGTTGCCACAAGGGAGGAAGTTGTCGACAATTCTCACAATCAGAGAGCGTGATAGAACAACATTACTCAGAATTGATAATCCATCCAAACTGAAATTTGGCACCTTATAACCTTGAATTTTCAAAATTTCAAGGTTTGAGTGAGGCTGGAGAGTTTCAAATACTTTCAACCTTTTCCTGAGATTCCGATTCACTATCAAGTTCCCAAGATAATTCCAGGTGGCGTAGATTCGGTTTTCGACAAATTGGCTTCTTGGGCATCCATCAGATTGCCCACTCATTAAGATGCGTGACACATAATTCTTCTCCAAGATTAAACCTTTCAATTCAGCCAAGTGGCAACCTCTCCTCTCACCCACGATGAAGAGAGTTAAAGTTTTTAAGCAAGTGATGTCCAATATGTGGAGGCATTTTAGATAAATTGGTACAACCATTCAGATAAAGAGTCGAAGATTTTTCAAGCATACTGCGCTTAGGTAGCTTCCGAAGTCGATGACATTGATTCAGATTCAAAGTCTGCAAATTAAGCAAGCTACAAAGTGATTCCGGAAGCAGTTTGATATAGGTGCGAGAAAAGTCTAGGTACTAGAGCTTTAAATAGCGAATTGAAGATGACAACGACACTCCAATGTTAGGCACACAGAGAACTCTCAACGAGATTACTTGAGATGTCAAAAAGATCCCCAGACTACATGTTCTAAAAGCTGAGGCCATGATTATTGTCCTTAAGGTTTCAACTCCGTACAAAGCTTCACAACCTTATATGATGATTGGCCCAATCAACATCTATCTGACATGAAGAGTGCTTTTTGAGATATTAGTTGAACCTTCGGCCTCCATGACAGCAAATCATCCTTCACAATAAATTGTGCAAGATCATGAACAAGATCATGCATTTTAAATAATAAATTATTCCAAAATTATCTTTTTTGCATCTTGAAAAAAGGATCGCCATATAGTTCATTGCATATCTCAATGCCAACATCTTCAGGCTCAAAATTTTGACTGCCTGAATAAAGCCATGGCCATCCAAAGATGAATCAACTTTTGTCTCCATTTCAGAATCTTTGGGAAGACAGCACAAAAGGCAAAACATCTTTTATTTTCGATGGCAAATGGGAGTAACTCAATCTTAAGGCTGGTAAGATGGAATTTTATCTTGTGGAAATTCCAGAGCTCACTTTCCTTGATAGAAAGCACTCATTTTCCTCACTTTTAAACGCATCAAGCTTCCAGAGGACTTCACGCCAGAGGACACACGCTACACTTCTTCACTATCTCTTTCCCTATTGCAACAAGGTTTGGATGTTCTTCTTTCTCTTGTCCAAATGCCCGTTCTTTAAACAACAACCAGCATTCATTTCTGATAATCCTGACAAATGATGCATGGGAGCGTTCCCAAATGGATGCAACCTTTCTGTCGAGTAGTGACAATGATCGAAGCACCTTCGATCCAACAGCAACACACACTTAATCTATCCCATTTCTCTTCATCTTCACTCCATAAATCATCTAGCACAAGCAAAAACCTTTTCCTGTTCATATATCTTGAAGGCATCTCTGCAAAGGGTCTAAGTCTAGATCTGCACAGCGTTCCAGTGCAGATTCAATTATAGCTTTTAGATCTTCTTCACACTGAAGTCCTCTGAATGCAAACCCAAATTCTTAGCTCAAAACGCATGCTCACTCTCATCATTGTAGACCACCTGAGCAAGCGTTGTCTTCCCAAGCCCCCCAATACCAACAATAGGGTAGACGGAAATGTCATCACAACTGGCTACATGATTCACCAAATTTTCAACAATTATTGCTTTATCTTCATCTCTACCATACACGTGAGGTTGAGTAATGATGGAGCCAGTTTGGCGTTCTTCTCCGACTACAGCTCCTCTCTGTGAAACTACCTCATTCAAATGAAACTGTATCCTCTCCTCTGCAATTTCATCTAACCTCTCTCTAATCTCTTTCATCCTAATGCCAATCTTGCGACGAAATAAAATAGTATTTGGACGAAGTTTATTTAAGAGAGAAGTGTTTACCTTGTTGATACACCTTGAATTTTTGTATTTAGACTCTAATCGAGAGACTTCTGTTGCACAATCATCCAAGATGTCATCCACCTTATAAGCTGCTTCTTTTAGCTTCTGCAGCCAATTCTGAAGCGCCTTGTCATGCACTTCCTTCTTCTCAGCATCTTCCAGCACAGCTTGAATAGTTGAGAGCAAGCTGGAAAGTTTTCTCATGTCTTTGTCAACATCCCAAAGCAACCCAACCTCCTTTCGGATAAGTGAGATCAAATTCTCCAGCAAAATTTGAACAAAAGCATCAGCCATTTGCAATTGCAAGTTGGAAAATCCAAAGTTCTGTGAGAGATTTGTTATGGGAAGGGGATAGAGGTGGCCTGAGTAGATGAGTAAATGGAATTGGAAGACTTGAAGGTGTTTGGAAGTCAATATTTGTGGGTCCTGACATGGAAATTTGAGTCATGTGGGATGCTGCTAAGAAATTTACAGATTAACAATTAAGAGAAAAGAAATAGAAGGCTTTTTGAAAAGTCTAGCTTTCTCTGTCTATGGAATTTTCAAGGAAGATGGATATGTGTAGAATGATTACTATTCAATGACTGGAAAAAAAAATAAAAAATCAACAGAAAATCAAGTAAACATTATGAACCCCACCGACAAACAAGTGAAAAAATTGATAAATTTATTACATTTTACAACTATTTATTCAGATTCCACAAAAGCAGCAATGAATAACAGCTAATCGGTCACACCTAGTACAAGTTAATTCCATCAAGTATAGCTTTTACTCTTTTGGTGGATCATTCCTTAAGGATTCATCTATATTAGAAGGAAACTCCAAGCCACCAAATCCACATTCATCACCATCTAAAGCAAAAGCAGCTTTGCCCATAAGCAAATAAGCCAACCTCAAAGGCTCCTCATCTTTGCAACTTCCCAAAACAAAAAAAAAGAAGACATTAAAAGACAACCAAAACTTTAACTTCAAAAAAGCAAGCACCATGAAGTTGAATTGTTGGAATGGTGGAGCCAAGACTTTAAAGCCAAAGTTGCAGATAGTTCTTGGGTTCCCTCCTTTATGAGTTCACTGTCCATTTTCCATTTTACTTTTTCTTTATCTTTCATAATAAACACTTGACTCTTGGATGTCCATTTTCCATTTTATTACTGTTGAGTGAAAACGGAAGAAACCTCTCAAACTTTTTATTTTTGATATCGAAATTGGTAACTATATGCATTTCTAACACTGGCCTAAAATTATTCAGACATTGAGCAATTTGATAGTTTATCCATGTATTGATGATATTAAATTATGTATGAGTTTAAGAAAAAGTCAAGGGAGGTCAGCTGAATTTGTATTATGTTTTAACTTTTCCCTCCTTTCAATGTCTCCTCTTGCTTCTTTTTCATTTTGAACACTTGACTCTAGGAAGTCACTGTCGAATATCAGCTTAAAATATTTACTACTAGATGAATTTGTTCAGCATCTACCGGAGTTTTGTTAAACTAACCAAGTCATCAGTTTTAATCAATTATTGATTTGAATTTCATTGGTTTTATCTCTTCTGTGAAACTTGTAGGCTAGTAGAATGACTTGGGCTGGTGCTTGGAAATTCACTAAAACAAACACTATTATGACCACTAATAAGGAACCTCTCAAACTTTCCATTTTCTAAGTCTCTTCATCTCCCAAACTCTGCCTAGCTCTTTATTTATTCTCCTATTTTCTGATCACAAATTAATTCACCCAACCGAATGCAAAATATGTATTATTTTCGTGATTAGGATAACAATATTAATTCTGAAATTTTCTGAAACGCAATTAGGACTCTTGGGTTGCTTCAGATCCTCCCCCCTTTTCTTCCTTGTCCTTTTGTTATGCTTTTGACTCTTATCTCTTCTTTAAACAATTATGTCTCTTAATTTCTCCTGTACTATGATTATGATTTTATCAAAGCGTTTGGAAAATTTCTATGGGCGGTGCATGGTGGTGCCCACACGGTCTGATAAAGAGAATAGGAAAAAGAAACAAGTTGTTTGTAGTTTTCTGCAATACTGGTAGACATTACAGAGACTATGCATGAGGGATGAGTTTTGATGATTCTGAGATGCTTGCCTATGAATTGCCGTTCCCGGAGTTCTTCCTGAGGAAAAAGTTGTGGGAATGTTGTATTGTAACTTATATTTGTCTATTTCTTTATTAAGAACAATATTGTCTTTTCATTTTGCAACCTTCTGCATATATTGTCATTTGTCTTTGTATTTGTAAGTGGAGTTAAAAAATACAAATTGTAGAGAAAAATACAAATGAAGCTGCATTAATACTCTAATGTCATCAACATCATTATATTCTTGATCATCGGTCGTTGTTGGGGTTATCCGCAGAGGGCTTTGTTGGGTTAAAGGTGGAAATTCAGGAGACAGAGATAAAAATGCTTGTGGGGCTTCACTGTTCCCACTTTCTTGGAGAGTTGGGCTGTTGTGGGTTTGGTCTAATTGGAGATATATAGGGGAGCCAAGCAATTCTGTTGATGATTTAAACTTCTTGTAGTGGTGGTGTAGAAGAGGGGTGTTGTGTCTGATGTTCAAAGGGTAATTCTTTTCTCAACCTGTCCACAAATTAAAAAATAAATAAATAAATAATGAGCGTGCTTGATAGAGAATTAAATTGAGAACTGGAGCACTGGAGATACCTGCTTGACGGAGGAGAAGAAACTGGACTGCCGAGATGGTGGCTGCATTGTTTGTATGAAAATCAGGGCTGTCACTCTGTTTATCCAAATAAAAATTTACACCATTAAACTGACTCCCCTGTCCTCTTTGGTGAAAGCTACAAGAGGCTTTTGGATCTCATTAGTATAACTTGTGTACAACTTAACTTGAGAATCAACTATAGAGCAATTGCAATAACTTTAAAACTGTAGATTGGCACAGCAAAAACTTGAAGAAATGTTGCAGTACCGTGTCAGCAGGAATTCAATCAAACTACATGAGAAAGCCAACATAATGAGCTCGAGGATACTTTCTCTGTAATTGTGGCCATTGCACAAAGAACTGATCAGCTATGCGTAACTTTTAAAGAAGCAAGCCGCTTAAAGAAAGGCTTTTTACTCTTGCTATCCTCTCAACATAGAAAATTTAAGAAAATGCTTAAGTAGCATTGCAATAACTACAACAGAACACAAGAGGTAAAAGGTCAAAGCTAATACCAATTGTGGTCTGATTCTAATATTAGCCACAGTGCATGAGCAATGGCAAGTAAAGTTGTCCAAACAGAGGTTACATATGATTGACCAACTTCCCTGCTTCTGTAGATCTGCATGAACTGTCCGGAGGATCCCTTGACTCCATTTTGAAGATAAACAAATGGCAATTAAATGAAAAGGACTTAAATTAGTAAATGTATGATTTAGAAGAAAAGACAAGCAATACCATTATCAGGTGAAATAAATATGATGCAACTTTTAAGTGAAATGAATGGCATTTGTGTATCCATTTAACATCATCCAGATAAAAAAAATATATATATATATACTCAATAATTATTTAACCAAAAAAAAATCCTAAAAGCATTATAGATAATCTTTAATTAATTGCATTTAATTTAATTTAAGTTGACCCAAAGGTTTAAGTCTTTGAGACTTGAAATCACCTTCTTCTGTTCTTCAATTGTTAAATATAAATAACTCTTCCTTTCAAGCAAACTGCCAACTCTATTATACCAGTTAAATTCTGTAAGAAATTCACAAATAATAAACAAAAATTTAAATACAAATGAATACGAAAAACCAATAGGTAGTAATTTTGTCACAGAACAGATTATCAATATTAAGTATCGTTCTCTCTACACAAGAAGAAAAGCATAATCAAAATGAAATTGGTCACAGAGGTTTTTCATGGTTTTTTGTACATGAAAGTTTCACATTAGCTATGCAATAAGCATGAACTAACAGTTCTTCATACCTTCACGCCATTTCTACAGTATCACTAGCTCATGATACCTACAATAAATCAAAATATAATCTATGTTTATGGGGACAAAATGTTAACACTCAAAGCAATTGAAGAAAATAAAAGGGGCTCCATTGATTGACATACCTCCCAACTTGATGCAACTAGTAATTATTTAGTTTTCTCCACAATAACGTCCGGAACATGTGCTATCTTGTACCAATCTTCTCCTGTTTCCTTCTCACATCGCTTCACTAGTTCAGGGCATTCGGAAATGAACAAATTTTGTAGATTAGTGAGGCTCTGCATGCTGGCTGGAAGAGATGACAACTTTGGGCATTCATGAATATGCAAAGACTGAAGAGATGTTAGGTTTCCCAGCCAGTGAGGCAATGATGCTAGTTCAGGGTACCGACATATGCTCAATGTTTGCAGTGCTGGGACATACCTTAAGGACTCAGGCAAGACTCTCAACTTTGGACAATTACTGTCGTCATAGTTACTGTCGTCACAGTTACTGTCTTCTCCAACAACTACAACCAAACACAAGCTAAAAATCACGTTGATTTTTCTGTCACCAAAAAATGTTGCGGCTTTGCCACATATGGTCAACACCCGGAGGGAACTAAGGTATTTGATACCATTCGGAAAAGTCACCAGCTCTGGGCAGCCATTAAGTGTCAAGCTTTCAAGGGCAGAGAGATGTCGTAACCCCTCTGACAAATTTGAGAACTTTATGCACCTTTCTAAAGTCAAATGCTGAAGAGAGTTTAGGCCTTCCAGTACTTGCTCCGGAAAAGCCTCGAGCTTAGGGCATTGACAAATTATCAATGATTTAAGACCACTAAGGCTAACTAGATATGTGGCAAACCCTTTAAGCTTTTTGAAATTTCGAATATACATTTCACGAAGAAAGGAGAGATTTTGCAGAATCTCATGAGGGGAGTATAAACTAAATCGCAATTTGTATGAAGACGTAGGTAAGTAAGGCTTCTGAAATGTGAGATTGATTTTAAAAGTTCCCCATTGCAATAATCAATCTTTAAACTTTTTGCTGAAGGAAGACATGGCAGGGTTAATTCAGGACAGTCGTCAATTTCTAGCCTTGTAAGAGATGGGAATAACTTGCTTCCATCCTGTCTCGAAAACCTCTGCAATCTCGGACAATTATGAATAATGAGTTCCTCCAAAGACGGAAATTTTCTCTTGCCTTGGGAACTTGTATCAATCTCCTCCAGGTTAATCAAATTTGTAATTGTAAGACATCGAAGCCGAGGAAGTTGCCACAAGGGAGGAAGTTGTTGACAATTCTCTAAGTCAGAGAGCGTGATAGAAAAAACATTACTTAGAATTTGATAATCCATCCAAACTGGAAATTTGATACCTTTATAACCTTCAATCTTCAAAATTTCAAGGTTTGGGTGAGGCTGGAGGGCTTCAAATACTTTTTCAACCATTTCCTGGGATTCCGATTCACTATCAAGTTCCCAAGATAGTTCCAAGCGGCGTAGATTCGATTTTCTGACCAAATTGGCTTCTTGGGCATCCATCAGATTGCCCACTCTATTAAGATGCGTGACACGTAATTCTTCTCCAAAATTTAAACTTTTCAATTCAGCCAAGTGGCAACCTCTCCTCTCACCCACGATGAAGAGAGTTAAAGTTTTTAAGCAAGTGATATGTCCAATACGTGGAGGCATTTGAGATAACTTGTGACAGTCATTCAGATAAAGATGTCGAAGATTCTTCAAGCATCTCATGCGCTTAGGTAGCTTCCGAAGTCGATAACAAGCTACAAAATGATTCAGGAAGCAGTTCGATATAGGAGCCAGAAAGGTTCAAGTACCTTAGATGCTTTAAATGACGAATTGAAGATGACAATAACATTCCATTTCTAGGCACACAGAGAACTCTCAACAAGCTTAATCTCGAGATGTCACAAAAAGATCCCCAGACATTAGGTGTACAAAAAGCTGGAGCCACGATTATTGTCCGTAAGGATTCAACTCCATACAAAGCTTCATAACCTTTATATGATGATTGGCTCAAATCAACATTTATTCTGAGATGAAGAGTGCTTTTTGAGATATTATTTGAACCTTTGGCCTCCATAACACCAAATTCATCCTTCGCAATAAACTGTGCAAGATCATGTACAAGATCATGCATATTAAATGAAAAATTATTCCCAAACTCATCTTTTTTTGCATCTTGAAAAAAGGATCGCAAATATAATTCATTGCATATCTCAATGCCAATATCTGCTGGCTCAAAAATTTGATTGGCCTGAATAAAGCCATTGGCAATCCAAATATGAATCAACTTTTGTCTCTCAATTTCAAAGCCCTTTGGAACGACAGCACAAAAGGCAAAACATCTTTTTATTTTTGATGGCAAATGGGAGTAACTCAATCTTAAGGCCGGTAAGATGGAATTTTTATCTTGTGGCAACTTCCAGATGTCACTTTCCTTGATTGAAAGCCACTCATTTTCCTCACTTTTATAACGCATCAAGCTTCCAAGAGACTTCACAGCTAGAGGCACACCCCTACATTTCTTCACTATCTCTTTCCCTGTTGCAACAAGGTTTGGGCGTTCTTCTTTCTCTTGTCCAAGGCAACCAGCATTCATCTTCTGACAGTCCTGACAAATGATGCATGGGAAATGTTCCCATAATGGATGCAACCTTTCTACTTTGAGTAGTGACAATAATCGAAGCACCTGTCGATCCACATGCCAACACACACTTTAATCTATCCCACTTCTCTTCATCTTCACTCCATACATCATCTAGCACAAGCAAATACCTTTTCCTGTTCAATATATCTTGAAGGCGTCTCTGCAAAGGGTATAAATCTAGATCTTCACAAGCAGTTCCAGTTGCAGATCCAATTATAGCTTTTATGATCTTCTTCACACTGAAATCCTCTGAAATGCAAACCCAAATTCTTAGCTCAAAATGCATGCACACTCTCTCATCATTGTAGACCATCTGAGCAAGTGTTGTCTTCCCAAGCCCCCCAATACCAACAATAGGGTAGACGAAAATATCATCACAACAAGCTACAGGATTCACCAAATTTTCAACAATTATTTCTTTATCTTCATCTCTACCGTATACGTGAGATTGAGTAATGATGGAGCCAGTTTGGCGTTCTTCTCCGACTTCAGCTCCACTCTGTGGAACTACCTCATTCAAATGAAACTGTGTCCTCTCCTCTGCAATTTCATCTAACCTCTCTCTAATCTCTTTCATCCTAATGCCAATCTTGCGACGAAATAAAATAGTATCTGGACGAAGTTTATTTAAGAGAGAAGTGTTTACCTTGTTGATACACCTTGAATTTTTGTGTTTAGACTCTAATCGAAAGACTTCTGTTGCACAATCATACAAGATGTCATCTGCCTTATAAGCTGCTTCTTTTAGCTTCTGCAGCCAATTCTGAAGCGCCTTGTCATGCACTTCCTTCTCCTCAGCATCTTCCAGCACAGCTTGAATAGTTGAGAGCAAGCTGGAAAGTTTTTTCATGTCTTTGTCAACACCCCAAAGCAGCCCAACCTCCTTTTGGATGAGTGAGTTCAAGTTCTCCAGCAAGGTTTGAACAAAAGCGTCAGCCATTTGCAATTGCAAGTTGGAAAATCCAATGCTCTGTGAGAGATTTGTGATTGGAAGTAAATTGAGGTGGCCTGAATAAATTACTAAATGGAATTGGAAGACTTGAATGTGTTTGGAAGTCAATATTTGTGGGTCCTGAATTGAAAATTTGACTCAGGTGGCATGCAATTTCTAGTCTAGCTTTCTCTGTCTATGGAATTTTCAAGGAAGATGAAGATGGAAATGTGTTGAAGTATTGATAATTTGCTGGAAATTCAGTTAAAGTTAGTTTGTCTTGAATGAGTTTTTGGTGCCAAATTACTGCAGCATTCCCACTTGTCTGCCGAGATTGAAGCTGCTGAAGTTGTTGGTTTTGTGACATGATTTGGTGTAATCAACTCAAACTAAGGATGTATTAAGTTGCCAACTATGTTTTTTAAATTTAAAACTCTGAATGGTTGTTGTAGTTGGTAAAACAGTAAGATTGTTTTGTATATATTTGCAACTTGCAGTGTAATGAAAAAAGGTTGTTCAGTCTTTCCATTTTATCTCCTTATCTTTCTTAGAATTCACCGGCTCTAAACCAACAAAATGCAATTTCTACTCTAATTTATTATCAGACTAAAATTATGTTTAGAATGATTTAAGTGATAAGATTGAAACAGTAATGATGACAAATGCCTTCTAATTGATGATTGAGATTATAAAGAATAAAAGATTGATGATTGAGGAGAAAAAAAGAAATGAAAGCTTCTACAAAAGCTTACTTTTTCTGTGATAGCGTTGCCCAATCATACTCCTAGTTAGCCGCTCCCTAAAGGTGATAAGAATACTTTTAATGGAATTTGATCAGCCATTATAATCAATGAGTTACACATTGTATCAAGTACAAGTTCATATTTCACATTTTTATCACCATCAATTATTCAATGACTGAAAAATAAAAAAAAATGAATTAGTTAACAAATAAATCAACTGAAAATCAAATATTATGAACACCAGCAACAAACAAGTGAAAAAATTGATAAATTTATTCAGATTTCACAAAAGCAGCAATGAATAACAACTAACTAGTCACACTTAGTACAAGTTAATTCCATGAAGTATAGCCAGTATACGAAGTGTGCTTTTACTCTTTGGGTGGATCGTTCTTTAAGAATCCATAAATGGTGGAAGGAAACTCCAAGCCACCAAATCCACATCCATCACCATCTAAAGCAAAAGCAGCTTTGCCTATAAGCAAATAAACCAACCTCAAAAGCTACTCACCTTTGCAACTTCCCAAAAAGTACTAATCGATCCCTCCATTCTCTCCAGTTCCTTCTCACAACCTGGTCCCTTAACTCCAACAATCTTTTCGTAAAAACCCTCTTCACATTTACAACAGTTACCAACACCATCCCTTTCTTCCTCTTTTTCGTTTCTCTATTTAAAATGATCTGATATACCTAGAAGCCGCATTAACATTTTAATGTCATCAACATCACTAGATTCTTGATTACTGGTTGTTGTGGGGTTCATCTGAGAAGGGTTTAGTTGGGTTGGAGGTGGCAATTAAGAGACAAAGATTAAAATGCTTGTGGGGCTTTACTGTTGCTGCTTTCTTGGAAAGTTGAGCTTTATGAGTTTGGTCTAATTGAAGATATATTGGGAAGCCAAGCGATTCTGTTGATGATGTGAAGTTAGAGTCAGTTTATTGAACTGGTTGTGATTCACTTTGGTATTTGTACATAATACTTTGAAACATATAGAAAATTGGCACCAACTACGCATAAAACCTCTTATTGCTCAGAGTCCTCTGTTGAATTCTTGACAATCAAAATGGATCTTGCACTAGATATTTGGCACATATCCATGCTCACAAAGACGAGCTGTCAATGACAGCAATCCAGCATATATAGACTTTGCTTCAGGATGGGACTGATCACAGGTAATAAAAGTATGCACGCCATTCTTGAGTTCAATCCAGCTACACCCTGGTGTCTTCTTTACATTTTGCTGCCTCATTGTATGCCTAACATCTAATACTTCTTCATACCGACCAGCTGCCACATAGACATTTGACATCAATACATAATTTCCACAATGCCCAGGTTCAAGCTGAAAAACCCGCTGTGCAGCAATCTCAGCAAGATCTGTATTCCCATGGAGCCGACATGCTGCCAATAAAGTCCTCCATACAACTGGGTTTGCCTCAATAGGCATTGTTAGTGCCAATTCATAAGCCTCTTTAAGCTTCCCAGCTCGACCGAGCATGTCAATCACACAAGTATAATGCTCAATTGTGGGAACTACACCATATTTTGATTCCATTTGCTCCAGGAACTCATGGCCCTGTCTCAGAAAGCCTGAATGGCTGCAGGCTGACAAAACGCCCACAAATGTTACATCATCAGGCTGAAGCTTTGCCTCACACATGCGTAAAAACATATCCAATGCCTCCTTGCCATAACCATCCATTCCGTAGCCCGCGATTATAATGTTCCATGATGCCACATCCTTATTACTCATCTTATTGAAAACCATGCGAGCATCTCTCATACTGCCACATTTAGAATACATGTCCATGAGGGAGTTGTTCATCAACACGTCATCAATATCCTCACAGTGACCATCCTTTGCCAACCCATTAACAATCATATATGCATGAATTTCTCTACCATGCATCAGTGCCGCCAAGTGAGAACAAGCAGGAAGCACAGTAGTGACCGTTACCAGATCAGGCTGAATCCCAGCATGTAACATCCTATCAAAAAGCTTCAAAGTGCCATCATGATAACCACATTGTTCGTAAACAGTCATAATCGAGTTCCACGAAAATAAATCCTTCTCCTGCATCATTTCAAAAATCTCCAATGCATCACCAATACACTTGCATTTTCCATACATATCAATCAAAGCATTCATCACCGCAACACCAGAATCATACCCCATTTTCATCACAAATCCATGAACCCCTCTCCCATTGTTGAAATCTCCTCTTACACTAAAAACCGATAGAACCCCAGTAACGGTGAACCTACTCATCAAAACCCCTTCTTCACTCATCCTCCTAAAAACCCCCAAAGCTTCATCCCATTTCCCAATTTGTGCGTACCCATTAATCATTGCGTTCCAAAGAACAACATCTCTAACAGTCAATTCCTCAAACACCTTTTGCGCCTCCTCCATTAATTGCAACTTCAAGTATGTATTAACCAAAGCACTACCTATAAACACATCAAAACCCAAGCCAAGTTTACAACTCAATCCATGGATCTTTTTGACCTCCAAAACCTCCTTAAGATCACAACAACACTTGATCAAACTCGGAAAGGTAAACTTATCAGGCAAAACACCAAATTCTCTCATATCTTTATAAAAATCCAACCCTTTTGAAGCAAACCCATTTGATAAAAATCCAGAAATCATTGCATTATAGGTATATACATTAGCTTCACAACTCATATTATTAAAAACTAAAAGTGCATCCCTCATTCGGTTGCATTTAGAGTACATGTTAATAAGGCTAGTTACAGATAAAGGGGAGTCGATAAGGCCACTTTTGAGCATGTAAGAGTGGATTTCTAGGCCTTTTTCGAGGCTCTTTAGGTGGGCACATGATTGCAGAGAAGAAATGCAGGTGGTGAGATTTAAGGGGTGGTTAAAAGTTTGTTCTATTGATGGTGAAGTAGAGAATTTCAAACACAGACAAGATGTTCGAGGGATTGAGATTCTGGAGAAATTTTTTATTGATGTTTTGCTCATTTAACAGGATTTGGATGATGTGATTGAATTCTTTAACAAATCAAAACAGAGTTTCCTGACGCAACAGAGTAACAGTATTTTGAATCATGCTTAGCGGATTTTATTTTTACTTTTTTAGAATAGTTCATGAACCCCTAAGATTTTGGTTGATTAAAAAACCCAAATAGTTTTGAAATAGACGGTAACGTCCCCTTGACTGCGTGAATTGACGGTGAAAATTACTTCGTTTTTTGATTTTCGCTAATTTGGTCCCTAAAAATATAAGACATATCCTACCTTTACTAAACTTTTAAAAGTGTGGGCGAAGTACTGACTTATGTAATTTGAAGTAAACCACTATTCTTCAGCCTGACGATAAGACTTTAACCATTTGGATGGATTATTTAGAGAACATGTGTTCGAGTCCTACAAAGTCGACATTTATTACATTTATTACTTATTTGTCTTATTAAGCTTGTAGAGTGTTTAATGGACATTGAGATTAGTTGAGATGTATACAAACTGATACTCCGATTATAAATTAAAAAAAAAACATTAGACCTGTAGAGTATTCAATGGATCTCGAGATTAGTTGAAATGTGCACAAACTGTCGAGACACCTCGATTATAAAAAAAAAAATTAAAATAACCATGACATTTATTATTAATATGGAAAATTGAAAAACATTATTATATTTTAATTATTTTTATTTTTATTTAGGAAAATAAATTTTTTTTTAATTATTGGAGTGAGACATAGAGATAAACGCTTGGCGGATATATCGACCCCACGACACGCTTACTATGTGGCAGGAAATCAAATCCACTTGATTTACGTTTACATTTTAAACTTTAACCATTAACCTAAACATTTGGATTAATTTTCTCTTCAAACAAGCCTCTGCTCCTCCTCCTCCTCCTCCTCCTCTTACAATTCTTGCTTCAAATTTGGGAAAATGTTGGCACTTAATCAGATCTTATTTTAATTCAATCAGACGACGCTAAACAACTTTAGTCTGATCCACTTTTGCTAAGCCGTTCGATCGGGATAATTATGACACGTGTCTGACGTCTACGTTCTCTTTACATACACCTTCATGTAGTCTCACATTATTCTCGCGAAAAGATCCGAAATCTCATGAGTACGTAGATATTTTAAGCACTTTTTTTTTTTTGAAAACCGTCGTACCGAAGAAACCGTTTTGTTCTCTCTTTAACTTTTTGACACAGACAAAGCTCAGCTTCTCGTTCCTGATAGAGTCAATCAATTCATGGCTTCAAAGCTATCAACTTCCTTCTTGAATCCGTTCTTCGTTAATTTCAACTCTAATAACAGTAACAGTATCAGTAATAAGCACTTAAATGTTAGTTTGTTTCTCTCTTCTCATCGGTTCACTCCAGCTTCTTGTAAAATGCGACAGCGGAGCTTCAGGTACTTGTTTGTTGTTTCTTTGTCCATGGATAGATTAAATGTTTTCGATTTTTTGGATTTTTTTTTGTCTTTTTGAAATAGTTTGAATTCGATTAGTATTGAAGTGGAAAATGATGCAGTTCCCAGCAAAAGAGACAAAACGTGAAGAAAAACTCACCTCAGCAGCCTCCGGTGGTTGCAGGTTCTGTGCCAAGTGTTGACGTTGACAGTGACATCGAGGGGGACGGTGACGGTGACTCTGAATCTGGAAATGATTTGACCGATGCTGACGTAAGCTTAAATCAAGAAATTGTAGATGATGTTGTGAACAATCATGTAGCTGTTGAAGATACAAATGACAAAGACTTGGAAACTGTAATTGTGCCAGAGCTGAAGAAAACTTTGGTACTTTCTTATAATGAGATCATAATCTGTTAGATTTTAGTGCTTGGAAGTTTATTTATTTGTTTGTTTATTCCTTATTTGTGTTTAAACTTTGTTTTATTAAAAGAATAGCAATTGAATAAGATCAAACTAGATTGCAGGGATCAAGTGTATTTATTTAGGTGTAATCTTTAGTTTTAAATATAAGGATCTTTTTTCTTTCTTTCCTCTTTTTTTTTTTTTTTTTTTTTTTGGAGGCCAGTCAAAGTGAGATAGTTTTTCTTCTGTATTTGGCTGATATGTGCTACTACATTTGGGTGCTAATGCAGATAATAGTTAGAATATACACATATTTAATTACCCAATATTTTGAGAAAAAATTTAACTGTCTTTTTATTGTGTAATGAAACATTTTTAGCATTTGTAGCTTAATCTGGTTTTGGTGGTGATATATATATATATTCTTCTCATATCTCCTTTTAATTAGGAAAACTGAAGATAAATGCTGAAACATTCAATGGACTTTCTTTCTCACAGGTTTTAAATGGAGAAGGTGAAGACCAGGTGTCAAGTTCTCAACTTCATTATCTGATGAACATGATAAGAAATGCAGAGAAAAGTAATCATTTCTTTGAAATATACTCTTTAGTTTGATGTATTTCTCTTTGGTTTGTTGTATTATTACCGATTTATAGAAAATATATGTTTATATAATTGTGCATCATATTATTGACAGATGTCCTTCTTCTCAACCAAGCACGGGTTCAAGCTCTTGAAGAGCTTCAGAAGATTCTCAGTGAGAAGGAGTCTTTGCAAGGAGAAATTAATGTTTTGGAGATGAGATTGGCTGAAACTGATGCACGGATTCAAGTTGCTACCCAAGAGAAGATACATGCAGAACTCTTGGAAGATCAGTTACAAAAGCTACAGAATGAATTGGCTCTCAGTGGTGCTTCCGAAAATAGCGAGCTAGAAATGCAGAAAAGTCAAAACAATGTACTGAATAGTAGTAGTATTCATTCTCTTAGCCAGGAGCTTGATTCTTTGAGGACAGAGAATGTGTCCTTGAAGGAGGATATAGAAAAACTTAAAACAGAGCTAAACAATGTCAAGAATACAGATGAGCGTGTGGAAATGCTGGAAAAGGAACGCTCACTCTTGCAGTCATCTTTGAAAGAACTAGAATCTAAATTTTCAATATCTCAAGAAGACGTTTCAAAACTTTCTACTCTGAAAGTTGAATGCAAGGACTTGTATAAGAAGGTAGAAAATCTGCAGGGACTGCTGGATAAGTCGACTAAACAGGCAGATCAAGCTATTTTAGTGTTACAGCAAAACCAGGAACTGCGAAAGAAGGTTGATAAGTTGGAAGAATCTCTTGATGAAGCTAATGCCTACAAGTTATCATCAGAAAAAATGCAGCAATACAATGAGCTAATGCAACAAAAGATAAGACTATTGGAAGAGCGTCTTCAGAGGTCTGATGAAGAGATACATTCCTATGTTCAATTATATCAAAAATCTGTGAAGGAATTTCAAGACACCCTTGATATTTTGAAGGAAGAAAGCAAGAAAAGGGCACTAGATGAGCCTGTGGATGATATGCCTTGGGAATTTTGGAGTCATTTGTTGCTTATGATTGATGGGTGGTTGCTTGAAAAGAATATATCAACCAGTGAAGCAAAGCTATTGAGAGAAATGGTGTGGAAGAGAGACAGACGTATTCATGATGCATACATGGCAGGCAAGGAGAAAAATGAACATGAAGCTGTCTCTACATTTCTCAGGCTGATATCATCAACAACTAGGTATGAATATATATATATAATCTCAGTGAATAATTCTTGTTGTTTAATTTGTTGCTTGGTTGAATTTTAGTTCAGGGTTGCATATCATTCATATTGCAGCAGAGATGGCACCAGTAGCTAAGGTACACTTTTACTCCGCTTGGTACTTCCTTTATGAGTTTATATTATTTTGACAGTCTTGGAAAAGTTTCCGTTTAAGACTTTTTGTTTCAAAGAAATATAGCTCAGGGAGACATCTTGAGGATTTGGCATATAAGTGTTTTCATTGTTGTCTGCAGCTCATCTGAAGCCTGTTGGATGATATGCTAGATAGCACTTACCTGTCCAATATGTAGTCTGGTTTTGGCTTTATTGTATTCCCCTTTTGTTTCTGTAAATTGTAGTTTGTTATTTCTGTTGATATATAGATGGATTTAACTGTTACAGGAGGCATCTATGATTCAAATATTGAGAGGTTATTAGTAGTTTAGTTCTCAGAAGATTTTTATATTAATTAGAAATGATAGTTTCTCTCTCTTTTCAGGTTGGTGGTTTGGGGGATGTTGTTACTGGTCTTTGTAAAGCACTGCAAAAGAGAGGTCACCTTGTAGAGATTGTTCTTCCAAAGTATGATTGCATGCAATATGATCGTGTTGTCAACATGAGGGTACGTGACAAGTTACTGATTTAGAAGCATGGAATTACAAAAGTTCTGGATAATTTATTTACTTGCACAGGCCTTAGATGTGGTGGTGGAGTCATACTTTGATGGAAGACTATTTAAAAACAAAATATGGGTCGGCACAGTGGAAGGTTAGCCATTTAAGTATTGTTGCTTGCCTAAGATATTTTAGCATTGATTCTGATTGCTACTGTGATTATGCAGGTCTTCCTGTTTATTTTGTTGAGCCTCTTCATCCTGATAAGTTCTTTTGGAGAAGACAATTTTATGGAGAACATGATGATTTCAAACGTTTTTCATTTTTCAGCCGTGCAGCACTTGAATTACTCCTTCAAGCGGGCAAAAAACCAGATATCATCCATTGCCATGATTGGCAGACAGCTTTTGTTGTATGGTCAATTTAAAATTTAGCTATTGACTAATGTTTTCATTTAGCAACTGAATAATTGTTTAATTACAGTAAAAAAAAATTTATTGCATCTCTAGGCACCACTCTATTGGGATTTATATGCCCCAAAAGGATTGAATTCAGCTAGAATATGTTTTACTTGCCACAACTTTGAGTACCAAGGGACTGCACCTGCTTCAGCATTGGCTTCTTGTGGTCTTGATGTTCAGCAGCTAAACAGACCAGACAGGATGCAGGACAATTCATCACATGATAGGGTCAATCCTATTAAAGTAAATTATTGAATCCAATGATGGTTTTTCTCATTCCTCACTGAAAAGATTTCTCCTTTCCTCTCAATTTTTTTCCTTTTTTGGTCTTTTTCCAGGGTGCAGTCGTGTTCTCTAATATTGTGACAACAGTATCACCCTCCTATGCACAGGAAGTGCGTACAGCCGAGGTATTTTTTTTTTGTGGCTATATATATATATATAATTTTTTCAACTTACATTTACGGTGCATGCTGGATTTAATACCAACCATCTAAATTGGTTTTATCCAATGGTGTCAAACAGTGAAAAAAAATTGTATAAAAGATGAGGCACGATGACACTAATATCAGCATTTTTGTGAAATCCGGACTTCATGCTCTCTATGTAAAGAATTGTTAAAAGAAAAAATCTTGCTAGAAGTTTTTGCATAGACAGTTTACACTTATGTAAATTGATCTTAGCACATTTTATCTTATGGCAATTCATTATATAGAGAGGTAGGAATCTGAAGTTTACAAAGATGCAGACATCTATAGGAGAGATTTATTCACACAATTGAACTGTTGAAGATAATATGGAGCATCTGGCAAGAAATGTTCATTATCTCTCTCTCTCTCTCCCCCTCTCTCTTCCATTTTAGTAAAAAGATTTGCTAGTAAAACATGATTCTCTTCCTATCTTTCATGGTTTGTAGGGAGATTTATTCCATATTTAGTCCATAGTTAAAATCAACCTTTTTGTCATCTAATAGCATCTTGTTATTGATATCACGCTCCCTTGTTTTAAGCATTAACTGAAGTCTTTGTTTAATGCATGTTTACAGGGTGGACGAGGCCTCCATTCAACTCTTAATTTCCACTCTAAAAAGTTCGTTGGGATTCTAAATGGAATTGATACTGATGCATGGAATCCTGCCACTGATACCACCCTTGAAGTGCAGTACAATGCTAATAATCTTCAAGGGAAAGCAGAAAATAAGTTAGCCTTAAGAAGGCATCTTGGACTTTCTTCTGCTGATACAAGGCAACCATTGGTAATTTTATTTTCCCAGAGAGCTGAAAAATATGTATTACATTCCTGTTTTTCTACTTTTTAAAAAGAAAAAATATTATTTTAAGGTTGCAACTTTGGTGAATCTTATATACTATTAGAATATGTGTGCAGCACATCATGTTCCATATATAATCCTTAAAAAATATGAAATAAAATATTATGACACAAGACATCTGGGAAGAAGATATGTGTCAGCCATTGAAATGTTATCTCCTGGAAATTTTTCTTTACTTTAGGACGTTTATTTTAAGTCTTTTGGCCTACAGAAATAAAGGTCTTATCTTTCATCTCTTAGAATTTGATAGGATGGAACTTTAAGAATGTGCTTGCACTCATCTGTCTTGATGTAATGATACTAGGGTTTGCTTATGTTTGATCATGCTAATAATAGGACTGAACAGGATATATATTGCTAGTTGCAGACACCTAAAGATTATACTGTCAGCAAATCTTTTAATATGATTTGTTTTTTCCTAACTAAATTCTTCTTTAACACCCTGAGCTCTCTGCTCATAAAATTTCAATTTTAGATGTTATTCTTGTTTTCTTCTCACCTACTTTTTCCATAAATTTTATCATGTTGATTTAAGCAAATGCACTTTTGGTCTCCATGTTTGGAATTAGATTTGCTGTATATAATTGATCTCTATGCTTGTTTTTGATAGATAGATCAAGCTGTAATATTGTACTGCTACCGTATTGCAGACCTTATATATTTTTAGGAATGACTAAGATATTGTTATATTGCTTTATAGGTTTTGAGCATGTAACTTATACAACGTCATCATTTTTTTGGGGTTCTATACAAGGGGATAGCTTCTGGAGTTAATGAAATATTATAATCAACTATTGTTGTCTTTATCCAATTGTAATTGGTGATTGACGAACCTCTTTCTCATTCTGCCGAAAATTGATTTTCTGCTATGGAAGCTTTACCTACCCCTCTAAAGCTCTGTGATAGTGCCCGAATTTTACTTGCGACTCTTTCCTTTATTTTTGAATAGGTTGGATGCATAACAAGATTGGTGCCACAGAAAGGTGTTCATCTTATTAGACACGCAATTTATCGAACATTAGAACTAGGGGGACAGTTTGTACTTCTTGGTTCAAGCCCAGTGCCACATATCCAGGTACTATTCATTTTCTTTTTCCCCACTTAATGAGTAAAGATAAGAAAGGAACAGAAACTTTTCTAAACAAAAATGTATGTTTTAGCTGTGGAGTCATATGTTGGTGTTACTGTTTTTTCTCTTTCTTTTCTTCTTTTCCCTTTAACATTCATGTTGTGTCTAAAATTTAAGGTCTTGGCTTAGTAAGATGCCGTCTTCCAGACAATGGAGTGTTGGAGAATTGTAAATCTCAAAGATATTAAATTAGAAGTAGGGAACTTCCTAATAAGTTAATACAGGCATTAGTGTGCATACTCACAATGATGTAGATAGCATATTGGAAGTTCAAAAGAACTGGAGGAAGGAACATATAAGACCTGGCCATCATTATATTACTTGTAAAGATATGGTTAATCATTATGCATTGATTAGCAAACTGCTAGGAATGGGATAAAATTGTTATATTGATTATGTATAACTATTAATCTTCTGCTTCTGCATGAGATTAATTACTTGAATCTATTTATTGTGTTTTCAGATACTGGTGTGTAATTGCTGCTTACGTATTTGTAGTTGTGCCTACTGGTTCCGTCTGTTTAAAGTTGAACTCAAGCCTTTCAGATACTATTTAGACTATCTATTTACTTGTTTGTATATTTATATCATTTTAGAGTGAGTTCGAGGGTATTGCCAACCAGTTTCAGTATCATGATCACATTCGGCTGATATTGAAGTATGATGAGTCTCTTTCCCATTCCATTTATGCTGCATCAGACATGTTCATAATCCCATCTATCTTCGAGCCTTGTGGCCTTACACAGGTACATTATCGACTCTTGACTAAGCAAATATTCTTGAACAGCAACTGAATTGTACCATATGGGAAATCATTGAAAGATGACAGCCAATACCTCCTTTTGAGTACTGAAACCTGGAAAAGGTAGGTTATTTGTGAAATGACCCTTTTATAATTCTTTTCAGATGATAGCAATGAGATATGGTTCTATACCCATTACAAGAAAAACTGGTGGTCTAAATGACAGGTAAACTTTTGGTGCCTGTATTGCATATAATTTTACTTCATCTGATAAGAAGTTTTACTGGTTGGTGAATTCTAACTCAACTCACAATATTCTTTTGTAGTGTATTTGATGTTGATGATGACACAATACCATTCCAGTATCGAAATGGATATACATTTTTGTATCCTGATGAACAGGTAAATGGAATTTTTACGTGTATATATATAGTACTGGAATTTATTCTTTATTATTACATACCATATTTCTTCTAGCATTGCATATAAAGAACCTTTCTCTTTGTTCCGTCCTCTCTGGATTTTGTCCAACGCTACTTATCATTTTTTTGGGCTGTTTCTCATCTGATTTTTCCCGATAATTTGAAACTTTACAGGGAGTAAACAGGGCATTAGAACGGGCATTTAGCCACTACAGAAACAACCCTGAGAGTTGGCATCAGCTTGTATACAAGGTCATGAATATGGATTGGAGTTGGGAAACTTCAGCATTACAGTACGAGGAACTTTATGCAAACTCTGTGGCCAGAGCACGGTCCTCTGCAAGTCGATCTTAAGCCTAGTTTGGTTGTCTCGTTCCCCTACATATTCGCATAACAGCTTTTCCATGAAAATTTGCTCGTGGATCATTACTGGATTGGTTAATACATAGCAGGTGAAATTGTGCCAAATTTTGCTTTGCGAAAAATCCAGTTTGCGGTTTTGTTGAGAGGTAAAACTGCTGCATGGCAGGTTTGATAATTTTTTTAACTGCGAATAATCGCACCGTTCATATTTTCATGAACTGAAACCTGTCTGTTACAGTTGACCCCGTTTGTAAATTAAGTGGGTGAAGTTTTAAGTTAGACTATACTAAAGATTGATCAATGTAAAACTATGTACAGGTTACAACACTTCATCCCAAACATGAATGAGATATGGCAATGTATACTGCTGGATGATTATATTTGTAAATGTATCATCTTCTTATGAATACTGTTCAACTCGGAGGCTTGGATTTTCACCATCTTGTTGTAACCAGTGTTTTAAAACCTGGGGTCCTGGCTCATCCGGTTAAACTGGTTTAATCAAGACTCGGGACCTTCACCGGGTGGGGTTAACAATTTCCCTATTCACCCAAAACCTTAGAATTTGAGATGGTGATTGGCGAACAATTAAAGGACGGGATTTTGGGTCTTTTGAAGAGAAAGTGTCTATAGGACATGGGTGCAATGGTGGCGACGGAATTGATTTCCGGTGAGTTAATCGATCGACATTCGAAAAAAAGGGCAACGGCAACAGTTGGCTTTTGTCGGCGATTGGCGAGGTGAGCGAGGGTGGGGTGAAATGGGTTTTAGTGATAAGGCTTAAAAGAGTATTTTCATAGTGATGGAAAGGGATGTCAATGTCGATGATAGTGAGATCTGGCCAAAATTGGTTGACGCTGACATTTGACTAAATCTTGGATAGATTTTTTAATGTAGGGGCTTAAGGGATGATTGAGATTGTATTTAGTATATCGTTGCTGCCAACTAGTGGACGGCTAATTTGTATTTAGGGTATGCTTACTAAATTTTAAACATATAGGAATTTCACTATAATTTCTAATGGTGTATTTGTAGAATTTTAAAATTTTTGACATCCGGCTGGTCAAACTGGTCAACCTAGATCCGACAACTTCGCCGAGTTTCTCCTGCCAGTCCCGGTTGATTATTAAAACATTGCTTATAACAACAGTACTCTTGGTTTTCATACAAAAATTTCCCAAACTTATTAGTTTTTCGACAATATAATTCAAGGCATTTAGGAGCATCCATGGTTTCACTTCTCAAGTTTTTGTTTGAGGAGAGTAGTTTTACATGGCCGATGATATAAAGGTAATAAAGGGAGAGGGTAAATATGAATAATGAAAGAGAAACAGAGAGAAGATACGGAAGGCATTTCACAGGAATCAACGTTCAAAATAAGCTTCCCATTAATTTAATTTACATCACATCAAACAAACAGAACAAACTAAAATCCACTCTCTGTGACTCTATGCTCACTTTCCGGGGACGAAGTTGGTGGCGTATGCCCAGGCATTGTTGTTGACGGGGTCAGCAAGGTGGTCAGCCAAGTTCTCCAATGGTCCCTTTCCGGTAACAATGGCCTGAACGAAGAAACCGAACATGGAGAACATAGCCAACCTACCGTTCTTGATTTCCTTAACCTTGAGCTCAGCGAAAGCCTCTGGGTCATCAGCCAAACCCAATGGGTCAAAGCTTCCACCTGGGTACAATGGGTCGGTCACTTCTCCGAGTGGCCCACCGGCAATTCTGTAACCCTCGACGGCACCCATCAAGATCACTTGGCATGCCCAGATGGCCAAGATGCTCTGAGCGTGGATCAAGCTTGGGTTGCCCAAGTAGTCAAGTCCACCCTCGCTGAAGATCTGGGCTCCAGCCTTGAACCACACGGCCTCACCGAATTTGACACCGTTGCGGGCCAAAAGCTCAGGGAAAACACATCCTAGAGCACCCAACATGGCCCATCTGCAGTGGATGACCTCAAGCTCACGGTTCTTGGCAAAGGTTTCTGGGTCAGCTGAAAGCCCAGCAGTGTCCCAACCGTAGTCACCGGGGAACTCTCCGGTCAAGTAGCTCGGGGGCTCACCGGAGAATGGGCCCAAGTACTTAACTCTGTCTGGGCCGTACCATGGGCTTCCAGATGGACCAGGCTTGACAGTTTTACGCATGGAGACACGGCCGTTGCCCATGAGCTCAGGGGCTGAGGGGCTGAGTTTCACCGCCTTTCCGGCGAGAGAGGGGGAGGAAAGAGCCATGGTTGAGGCTGCCATTGTGTAAAGGAAGCTGTTTTCTAGCTGGGTTTCTGTGGTTGTAAGTTATAGTAGTGTTTGAACACATTAACTAGGTGGGTTTATAAAGGGCTTCAGGAATTAGATTTCTTATCTCTGTGCTATCTAATCCTGTTATTTCATTGGGAGTTGAAGATTTTGGGTCTGATTTTTTGTATCCCACGTGGCATCTTCTAGACCACCAAGTTCTTAGATTCATTTATTGGTGTGTAACCAATGTGGGTTCTCCACGTATATGATATGGATTACATTCACTTCTTCCCAACGAGTTAAAATCTGATACGTGATAATGTTAGCAAGATCAATTATCTTGAATTGAACAGAACTATCTTTTTATGACGTACTTCACATGGCGGGAAAGCTCAACAACTCTGATGCTTGATGGCCACAAATTAATATATATGTTTTGACATAATTTTCAGTTCATAAACAAACAAAAAGCTTCTCAAATTTTATACAAATGCATTATGTAAATGTCGCTTTGCATGGACAAAGGGAAAAGAAAACGAATGGTGATATGAACCGCAGAAAGATTAATGGAATCTGCAGCAATTTAATGACAATATAATACAAATTGTATAGTTTTCGTAGATGGAAAAGGGTATACGTGCATTTTCATAATATCTGCAGAAGAAAATGTATAAAGGCATCAGCATCATGGACAAACTGTGAAAAGGTTGTTTACTAATTATCAGAATTCTTATTTTATATGAAACAACACTTCATATGAAAGAAAGAGAACACATGAGTAACTATTGGATGGTTTGATAGTAAAAGAATAAAAAGAAATTTCATGAGTTTTTGGGTTTGAGTTCCTCTAAATGGTGATGGATTCAGGATTTTTGTCTCAGGGGAGACTATGCGGCTTTGCTATTATTTGCCAAATAAATAGTGAAAACTTTAAAAAATCAACAAACTATAAGCAAAGAAAATAATACGAAAAGAATGCAATAATATAATACATTTCTACTTGAATAAATCTATGAGAAGCAAAATTTTGAGTAAATGTGTTAAGTAAACTTTGAGCAAAACTTTCTTTTAATTTTTTTGGCTTACAAAGATTATAATATAAAATTTCATGACTTTGATTAGACATACCTTAAGCTAAAGTCACCCAAAACTTAAATCTAAGTCAATGTTGTATTGGCTTTTAATATGAATTAATAAAAAAAAAAAAAAAGGAATTTTCTTGATATAAACATAGATAGTAACTCAATTTTTTTAATAATTTTGAGCAACTAAATAATAACGTTTTAAAAGTAGGAAAGTGGTTGATGAAGGGTAAAGAATAACGTCCTTTAAAATATAGTTAAAGTTTTAATTTAGGAAAACAGGTTCATTCTTTGAAAAACAATAAATAAACTCACAAGATCCATGTCTTTTTCTTTCAAATTAGAATAAAAAACCTTCAAAAAAAAAAAAAAAAGCATGATTCAACCTAAAATAAACTAAATTGAAATGAGCAATGTAAATACTTAAAACTGATAAAACAGAAAGCGGATCCAATTGTGACATTTTGAGTAATAAAAGCTTTAATAATTTTAGTTTTCAAAAGTTTTAAGAACAAATAGTATGAGAAAGAGAATGAGAGAGTAGCAAATTTTGAGAATAAAATCATAAAAAGTATGTGAAGCCGTGGAGAAAAAGAATGAAGAGAGTTTTAAACTTTTAATATAATGTGGGCTTGAAATATATATATATATAAGTTTTTTGTGGGCTAAATAATGTACAATAATTCTCATTTTAAAAAAATTTGAGAATGGGCCTAGATATATATATATTAATAATAATTTTTTGTCAGCTTATATATTAAATCTTAGGGTAAACCTAGGCTCACCCTCAAAGGGGTTGAATTTGCCCTTGCCTCTATACACTAATAAGGGTATCTATTGTCACTCTTACTCGACCAGTCAAACACCCCTGAAGAAAAAAAAAGAAAAAAAAAAAAAAAAGATACATAGATGATGATATATCCCTCCTCACGTTGAGTGTGAATATGTTATATCGTGCTTACTAATCTACCAGGGAGGTTCAGAATGTATATATGTACATGGCAACTGAACTCTTAAGGAATAGATTTCTTCTTGCTAAACTAACCATTGCTGGATTCCTGTATGTTCTGAAATAAAACACATCAATTTGATTTGCATTGTTAGATGTAATACTATCTCCTCAAAATGATACTGCACCATTCTTTGCTTACAACTTCACTTTGTGTTATCTTGCTCTTTTTTTTCCTAGCTAAGCTGTTAGTAATCAAGATTTTAATCTCGTATGTGAAAACTATAGAAGACAAGATTACAACAATGAGTTGATGGATCTGTAACTTTTTTTTTTTTTTTTTCAATGCGTATCAGCTCTGTAACTTTTTCAGAGCTAACCGTAATATAACATGATCTTATAAGTTCGAATTTTAGTTCCCACAACTCCTAATGTATCTAACATAGTCTTTTGAGTTCGAGTCTTCACAACTCCTNGGAAAGCTCAACAACTCTGATGCTTGATGGCCACAAATTAACATATATGTTTTGACATAATTTTCAGTTCATAAACAAACAAAAAGCTTCTCAAATTTTATACAAATGCATTATGTAAATGTCGCTTTGCATGGACAAAGGGAAAAGAAAACGAATGGTGATATGAACCGCAGAAAGATTAATGGAATCTGCAGCAATTTAATGACAATATAATACAAATTGTATAGTTTTCGTAGATGGAAAAGGGTATACGTGCATTTTCATAATATCTGCAGAAGAAAATGTATAAAGGCATCAGCATCATGGACAAACTGTGAAAAGGTTGTTTACTAATTATCAGAATTCTTATTTTATATGAAACAACACTTCATATGAAAGAAAGAGAACACATGAGTAACTATTGGATGGTTTGATAGTAAAAGAATAAAAAGAAATTTCATGAGTTTTTGGGTTTGAGTTCCTCTAAATGGTGATGGATTCAGGATTTTTGTCTCAGGGGAGACTATGCGGCTTTGCTATTATTTGTCAAATAAATAGTGAAAACTTTAAAAAATCAACAAATTATAAGCAAAGAAAATAATACGAAAAGAATGCAATAATATAATACTTTCCTACTTGAATAAATTTATGAGAAGCAAAATTTTGAGTAAGTGTTTAAGTAAACTTTGAGTAAAACCTTCTTTTAATTTTTTTGGCTTACAAATATTATAATACAAAATTTTATGACTTTGATCAGACATACTTTAAGCTAAAGTCACCCAAAACTTAAATCTAAGAAAATATTGTATTGGCTTTTAATATGAATTAATAAAAAAAAAATGGGGAATTTTCTTAATATAAACATAGATAGTAACTCAATTTTTTTAATAATTTTGAGCAACTAAACAATAACGTTTTAAAAGTAGAAAAGTGGTTGATGAAGAGTAAAGAATAACGTCCTTTAAAATATAATTAAGGTTTTAATTTGGGAAAACAGGTTCATTATTTGAAAAACAGTGAATAAACTCACAAGATACATATCTTTTTCTTTCAAATTAGAAAAAAAAACCTCCAAAAAAAAAAAAAAACAAAAAAAAGCATGAGTCAACCTAAATAAACTAATTGAAATGACAATGTAAATACTTAAAACTGATAAAACAGAAAGCGGATCTCTTGTGGCATTTTGAGTAATAAAAGCTTTAACAATTTTTAGTTTCAAAAGTTTTAAGAACAAATAGTATGAAAAGAGAATGAGAAGTAGCAAATTTGAAAATAAAATCATAAAAAGTATGTGAAGCCGTGGGAAAAGAATGAAGAAATTTTAAACTTTTAATATAATGTGGGTTTGAAATATATATATATATATATAAGTTTTTGTGGCTAAATAATGTACATAATTCTCATTTAAAAAAATTTGAGGATGGCCATAATATATTATAATAATTTTTTTGTGAGCTTATATATTAAATCTTAGGTGTAACCTAGGCTCCCCTCAAGGGTTGAATTTTGCCCTTGCCTCTATACTAATAAGGTATCTATTGTCACTGTTACTCGACAGTCAACACACTCCTGAAGAAAAAAAAGAAAAAAAGATACATATATGATATTATCCCTCCTCACGTTGAGTGTGAAATTGTTTAATCTACCACGGAGGTTCAGAATGTATAATGTACATGGCACCTGAACTCTTAAGAATAGATTTCTTCTTGCTAACAACCATTGCTGATTCCTGTATGTTCGAAATAAACACATTAATTTGATTTGCAGTTAGATGTAATACTATCTCCTCAAAATGAACTGCACCATTCTTGCTTAACTTCACTTGTGTTATCTTGCTCTTTTTTTTCCTAGCTAAGCTGTTAGTAATCAAGATTTTAATCTCGTATGTGAAAACTATAAAGACAAGATTACAACAATGAGTTGATGGATCTGTAAGTTGTAACCATCCTTTTTTTTTTTTTTTTTTTGTCAATGCCATCAGTTCGCCTGTAACTTTTTCAGAGTCAACCGCAATATAACATGTCTATATATTTTGAATTTTAGTCTTCACAACTTCTAATGTATCTAATATGTTTTTTGAGTTCGGTTCTCACAACTTCAATAAGGGTATTATAAACCTTACAGATTGATAGTTCAAATCCTAAAAAATTATTGAGGTACGTACACCTGAAAAAAAAAAAAAAAATTTTACAGCAAATTTTGCAAAAATAGTTACTCCAAAGTAGATAGTGCTATCCAGTAGCACAAGTGGCAACAGATAATTGGAGAGGAAATAAAATCCATGTCGAATGAGATTCGGTACTATTGTTGTGGCTCAAAAATAATCCAAAGTTTAGTATGTGTACTGAGAGCGCCAAGTAGACTCACAAATCAAACTTCCAAAAGGTCTGCAGCCAATAGGAATTCAGATATAGATATCTATGATTCATATCTGATTCTTTCTTTGTAACCCCTATTTATAAGCCCACAAAGCCCACTTCAACCATCAATCAACTTCTCTTCAACTATTGTTTCTTCTCCTACTACCACTCCAATTCTCACAATGGCAGCCTCAACCTGGCCCTCTCCTCCCCCTCATTTGCCGGCAAGGCCGTGAAACTCAGTCCCTCAGCCCTGACTCATGGGCAATGGCCGTGTCTCCATGCGTAAAACTGCTAGGCCTACTCCATCTGGAAGCCCATGGTACGGCCCAGACAGAGTTAAGTACTTGGGCCCATTCTCTGTGGAGCCCCCAACTACTTGACCGGAGAGTTCCCTGGTGACTACGGTTGGGACACTGCTGGCTTTCAGCTGACCCTGAAACCTTGCCAAGAACCGTGAGCTTGAGGTCATCCACTGCAATGGGCTATGTTGGGTGCTCTAGGATGTGTTTTTCCCCTGAGCTTTTGGCCCGCAACGGTGTCAAATTCGGTGAGGCCGTGTGGTTCAAGGCTGGAGCCCAGATCTTCAGCGAGGGTGGACTTGACTACTTGGGCAACCCAAGCTTGATCCACGCTCAGAGCATCTTGGCCATCTGGGCATGCCAAGTGATCTTGATGGGCGCCGTCGAGGGTTACAGAATTGCCGGTGGGCCACTCGGAGAAGTGACCGACCCATTGTACCCAGGTGGAAGCTTTGACCCATTGGGTTTGGCTGATGACCCAGAAGCTTTCGCTGAGCTCAAGGTTAAGGAAATCAAGAACGGTAGGTTGGCTATGTTCTCCATGTTCGGTTTCTTCGTTCAAGCCATTGTTACAGGAAAGGGTCCATTGGAAAACTTGGCTGACCACCTTGCTGACCCCGTCAACAACAACGCCTGGGCATATGCCACCAACTTTGTTCCCGGAAAGTGAGTTCAGAAATGATGTAAAAAAATGGAGAAGTTTTTCCTTCGATTTGAGTGTGGAATTGAGAGTGATTGTTCATTGTTGTGAACCAAGTGTGCACCAATTGTGAATCACATGTATCATTAATCAGAGTGGATCTTCCTGGTTTTGTTCAATATCCATTATTTCAACTTTTATTCTTCTTCTTCTCAATTGCAATGGCACCTTGCCCACTAGTATACAAGAAAATAATAAATCGGTCCACATAAAAAGAAATATTAAAAAAATAAAAATAAAAGTAATTTACTTTATTTATCCATCCATCATCCCAATTCCCAAATCGGGTTTAGCCTAAACATAAGCAATGCAGCCACCATCTCGGCACTCCAGTTTCTTCTCCTCACTCAAGCAGGTATCTCCAGTGCTCCAGTTCTCAATTTAATTCTCTCAAGCACGCTCATTTTCTATCAAATTCTTTTTTGTTTTCAATTCATTTGCGGACAGGTTGAGAAACGATTGAAACTTGAAGAACAGACACAACACCCCTCCTCTTCACAACCAGTTCAAGAAAGCGACTCTAAATTCACATCATCAACAGAATCGCTTGGCTCCCCGATATATCTCCAGTTTGACCAAACCCACAACAACTCAACTCTCCAAGAAAGCGGCAACAGTGAAGCCCCACAAGCATTTTTATCTTTGTCTCCTGAATTTCCACGTTCAACCCAACAAAGCCCTCCTCAGATAAACCCCACAACGACCCAAGATCAAGAATCTAATGATGTTGATGACATTAAAATGTTAATGCAGCTTCTGGGTATATCCGATCATTTTGAAGAGAGAAATGAAAAAGAGGAAGATAGGGGTGGTGTTGGTAATTGTTGTGAATGTGAAGGGGGGTTTTATGAAAAGATTATTGGAGTTAAGGGACCCAAGTGTGAGAAGGAAGTGGAGAGACTGGAGGGATGGATTAAGTACTTTTTGGGAAGTTGCAAAGGTGAGGAGCCTTTGAGGTTGGCTTATTTGCTAATGGGCAAAGCTGCTTTTGCTTTAGATCGTGATGAATGTGGATTTGGTGGCTTGGAGTTTCCTTCCACCATAGATGGATTCTTAAAGAACGATCCACCCAAAGAGTAAAAGCACACTTCGTATGCTGGCTATACTTCATGGAATTAACTTGTACTAAGTGTGACTAGTTAGTTGTTATTCATTGTTGCTTTTGTGAAATCTGAATAAATTTATCAATTTTTTCACTTGTTTGTTGCTGGTGTTCATATATTTTACTTGCTTTTCGTTGATTTATTTGTAACTAATTCATTTTTATTTTTTATTTTTCAGTCATTGAATAATTGATGGTGATAAAATGTGAAGTATGAACTTGTACTTGATACAATGTGTTAACTCATTGATTATAATGGCTGATCAAATTCCATTAACAGTATCTTATCACCTTTAGGGAGCGGCTAACTAGGAGTATGATTGGGCAACGCTATCACAGAAAAAGTAGCTTTTGTAGAGCTTTCATTTCTTTTTTTCCTCCTCAATCATCAATCTTTTATTCTTTATAACTCAATCATCAATTAGAAGGCATTTGTCATCATTACTGTTTCAGTCTTATCACTTAATCATCCAACATAATTTAGTCTGATAAAAATTGGAGTAGAAATTGCATTTCCATCTTCATTTTCCTTGAAAATTCCATAGACAGAGAAGACTAGACTAAAATTGCATGCCACGAGTCAAATTTTCAATTCAAGACCCACAATATTGACTTCCAAACACATTCAAGTCTTCCAATTCCATTTAGTCATTTATTCAGGCCACCTCAATTTACTTCCAATCACAAATCTCTCACAAGCATTGTTTTTTCCAACTTGCAATTGCAAATGGCTGTCGCTTTTTTCAAACCTTGCTGGAGAACTTGAACTCACTCATCCAACGGAGGTGTGCGTTGCTTTTGGGGTGTTGACAAAGACATAAAAAAACTTCCAGCTTGCTCTCAACCATTCAAGCTGTGCTGGAAGACGCTGAGGGAGAGGAAGTGCAAGACAAGTGCTTCGAATTGGCTGCGAAAGCTAAAGAAGCACACTTCGTATACTGGCTATACTTCATGGAATTAACTTGTACTAGGTGAGACTGATTAGTGTTATTCATTGTTGCTTTTGTGATCTGATAAATTTATCAATTTTTCCACTTTGTTTGTTGGTGGTGTTCATAATGTTACTTGACTTTCAGTTGAATTATTTGTTAACTAATTCTGTTTTTTTTTTTTTCAGTCATTGAATAATTGATAGTGATATAATGTGAAGTATGAACTTGTATCTGATACAATTTGTAACTCATTGACGCAATCTTATCACCTTTAGGGACCAGCTAACTGGAGTATGATTGGGAAACGCTATCATAGAAAAAGTAAGCTTTTCTAGAAGCTCTCATTTCTTTTTTCTCCTCAGTCATCATTAATGAGTACTGTGTGAAGGCATTTGTCAACATTACAGTAGAAATTGCTTTTCATCTCCCTGAAAATTCCAGAGACACAGAAAGCTAGCCTTCTCCAAAGCCTTCTATTTCTTTTCTCTTACTCTGTAAATTTCTTAGCACAACGCCACATAACTCAAATTTTCAAGTCAGACCCACAATATGGACTTCGAACCACATTCAAGTCTTCTAATTCCATTTAGTCATTTCTCAGGCCAACTCGATCTCCTTCCCAATCACAAGTCTCTCTCAGAGCATTGGATTTTCGAACTTGCAATTCCTAATGGCTGACGCTTTTGTTCAATTTTGCTGGAGAATTTGAACTCACTCATCCGAAAGGAGGTTGGGTTGTGCTTTGGGGTGTTGACAAAGCATGAAAAAACTTTCCAGCTTGCTCTCAACTATTCAAGCGGTGCTGGAAGATGCTGAGGAGAGAGCAGTGACAGACAAGGCGCTTCAGAATTGGCTGCAGAAGCTAAAAGAAGCAGCTTATAAGGTAGATGACATCTTGGATGATTGTGCAACAGAATCTCTCGATTAGAGTCTAAAGACCAAATTCAAGGTGTATCAACAAGGTAACACCTTCTCTTTTAAATAAATTTCGTCCAGATACTATTTTATTTTGTCGCAAGATTGGCATTCGGATGAGAGAGATTAGAGAGAGGTTAATGAATTGCAGAGGAGAGGATTAATTTCATTTGAAGTGAGCATTTCATATAGGAGCCGAGTCAGAGAAGAACGCCAAACTGCCTCCATTATTACTCAATCTCACGTCTATGGTAGAGATGAAGATAAAGAATAATTGTTGAAAAATTGGTGAATCATGTACTTGTTGTGAACATTTCCGTCTACCCTATTGTTGGTATTGGGGGGCTTGGGAAGACAACACTTGCACAGGTGGTCTACAATGATGAGAGAGTGAGCATGCATTTTGAGCTAAGAATTTGGTTTGCATTTCAGAGGATTTCAGTGTGAAGAAGATCATAAAACTCTATAATTGGATCTGCAACTGGAACTGCTTGTGAAGTCTAGACTTAAACCCTTTGCAGAGACGCCTTCAAGACATATTGAACGGAAAAGGTATTTGCTTGTGCTAGATGATGTATGGAGTGAGATGAAAGAAGTGGGATAGATTAAAGTGTGTTTGGCATGTGGATGGAAAGGTGCTTCGATTATTGTCACTACTCGAAGTAGAAAGGTTGCATCCATGACGGGACGCTTCCCATGCATCATTTGTTAGGACTATCAAAGATGAATGCTGGTTATTGTTTAAAGAACGGGCATTTACAAGAGAAAGAAGAACGTCCAAACCTTGTTGCGATAGGGAAAGAGATATGGAAGAAGTGTGGGTGTACCTCACTGTGAAGTCTCTTGGAAGCTTGATGCGTTATAAAAGTGGGAAAATGAGTGGCATTCTATCAAAGAAAGTGAGCTGTGGATTTGCCACAAGATAAGAATTCCATCTTACCAGCCTTAAGACTGAGTTACTCTCCCATTTGCCATCAAAAACAAAAAGATGTTTTGCCTTTTGTGCTGTCTCCCAAAGGATTCCGAATTGAGAGACAAAAGTTGATTCAACTTGGATTGCTAATGGCTTTATTCAGGTCAATCAAAATTTTGAGCCAGAAATATTGGCATTGAGATATGCAATGATTATATTGGCGATCCTTTTTTCAAGATGCAAAAAAAGATGGTTTGGCAATAATTTATTATTTAAAATGCATGATCTTGTCCATGATCTTGCACAATTTATTGTGAACGATGATTTATGTGTGGAGGCCAAAGGTTCATAATATCTCAAAAGCACTCTTCATGTCAGAATAGATCTTAATTTGTTGCAATCATCATGTACAGGTTCTGAAGCTTTGTGTGGAGTTGAAACCTTAAGGACATTAATCATGGCTCCAGCCTCAGATTTTTCTTGTGACATCCGACATTAATCTCATTGAAGTTCTCTGTATGCCTACAATTGGAAGTTGGTGTCATCTTCATTCGCCATTTAAAGCATCTAAGGTACTTGGACCTTTCTCACAGTGGTATCAAACTGCTTCCTAATCACTTTGTAGCTTGCTTAATTTGCAGACTTTGAATCTGAAAAATTGTTTTGCACTTCGAAGCTACCTAACCGCATGAGATGCTTGAAAATCTTCGACATCTTTATCTGAACAACTGTATCATGCTATCTCAAATGCCTCCGGATATTGGACAGATTAGTTGCTTAAAAACTTTAAGTCTCTTCATCGTGGGTAAGATGAGAGGTTGTCATTGGCTGAATTGAGTTTAAATCTTGGAGAAGAATTACGTGTCACACATCTTAATAGAGTGGGCAATTTGATGTGCCCAAGAAGCCATTTGGTCGAAAACCGAATCTACGCCGCTTGGAAGTATCTTGGGATTTGATAGTGAATTGGAATCCCAGGAAAAGGTTAAAAAGTATTCGAAGCCCTCCAACCTCACCCGAACCTTGAAATTTTGATATTGAAGGTTATAAGGTGCCAAATTTCCCGTTTGGATGAATTATCAAATTCTGAGTAATGTTGTTTTATCACACTCTCGGCTGTGACAATTGTCGACAACTTCCTCCCTTGTGGCAAATTCCTCGGCTTCGATCTTAAAATAAAAAAGTTGATTCACCTGAAGTATATTGACCCTAGTTTCCAAGGCGATAAAGTGATTAGAAAATTTCCGTCTTTGGAGGAACTCATTATTCATAATTTGTTGAGATTGCAAAGTTGTCAAGACGGATGGAAGCGAGTTATTCCCATGTCTTCAACGCTAGAATTTATGATTGTCCTGAATTAACTCTACCATGTCTTCCTTCAGCAAAAAGTTTACGGATTCGTTCTTGTGATGGGGAGTTTTTAAAATCAATCTCACATTTCAAAGCCTTACTTACCTAATGTTGTGAATTCTGATTAGTTACCTTCCTCATGGGATTCTACAAATCTCTCCTCTCTTCTCGCCAAATGTATATTGGAGATTTCAAGAGCTAAAGGGTTTGCCACGGATCTAGTCAGCCTCAGAGGTCTAAATCGTTATATATTTCTCAATGCCCTGAGCTTGAGGCTTTTCCTGAGCAAGCACTGGAAGGCCTAAACTCTCTTCAGCATTGACTTTACAAATGTGCATAAAGTTCTCAAATTTGTCAGAGGGTTACGACATCTCTCCGCCCTTGAAAGCTGACGCTTAATGGCTGCCCAGGGCTAGTGACGTTATCCAAATGGTATCAAATACCTTAGTTCCCTCCGGGAGTTGACCATTTGTGGCAAGCCCGCAGCATTTTTCGCTGATAGAAAAATCAATGAGATTTGTGACTTGGTCTTTCTCACAGAATGTGGCAGGGAAGACAGTAAGTTGACAGTGTTGCCTGAGTCCATAAGGTATGTCCCTGCACTGCAAACATTGAGCATATGCCGGTACCCTGAACTAGCATCATTGCCTCACTGGCTGGGAGACCTAACATCTCTTCAGTCTTTGCATATTTATGAATGCCCAAAGTTGTCATCTCTTCCAGCCAGCATACAGAGCCTCACCAATCTACAAAATTTGTTCATTTCCAAATGCCCTGAACTGGTGAAGCGATGTGAGAAGGAAACGGGAGAAGATTGGTACAAGATAGCTCATGTTCCGTTCCGAACGTTATTATGAAGAAACCTTAAACTGAATAATTACTAGTTGCATCAAGTTGGGAGGTATGATGAGGTAGTGATACTGCAGGAATCCCGTGAAGGTATGAACCGTTAGTTCATGCTTATTGCATAATTAATGTGAGACTTTCATGTAATAGTATTTGTATATAACATATTTCTGCTTAAGTATATAACCAAAAACTATGAAAAAGCTCTGTGACCAGTTTTATTTTGGTTCTACTTTTCTCTTTGTATAGAAAGAACGATACTGAATACTAATAATCTGTTCTGTAACAAAATTACTACCTACTGGTTTTACATATTAATTTCTATCTTAAATTTTGTTTGATTATTTGCAAATTTCTTATGGAATCTGACTGGTATAATAGAGTTGGTGGTTTCTTGGAAGGCAAATTTATTTAAATTTGGAATTAAATTAAACCTTTGGGTCAACTTAAATTAAATTAAATGCAAATAATTGAAGATTATCTTTAATACAATTAAATTAACTTATGCGGGATCTATGGTAGAGTTAAACTATGGGCAAGGGCGTAGCTAAATTATATTCAGGAGGGTCACTTGACCCACTGAAATTATGAAATTATTAAAAATATATATATATTTTATAATAATTAACAATTTTGACTTCACTAAAATTTATATTGGCCCCATTAAAATTACTTATATTTTATTGACTTAATTAAGGTATTAAATATTTTATTGACTTAATTAAGGTATTAAATATTTTATTGATCTTGGGATTAAAAAATACTCATATTTTTTTCACGTTAACTCTCATCCTCAGTTCCTCTCTTCTTTTCTCATACTTTCTTGTTCTTTTAGTTGGATTAATCAAGAAAGGATACTCTTTTAGAGGTCATAAGATAAGATAATGCTTATTTTTTGTTATTTTACTTATTTCTTCTTTGTATATTTTATTATAAATTTATTAACTTAAATCTTTTAACCCCACTGACTAGAAATCCTCTGACTACGAGTGTTCTTTTAAAGAGAGTCAAATTATGGGGGTTCTTCTTAGTAACGTCAAGCTATGGGGATTCTTCTGAAATAAGATTAAGAATTTGAGGTTTTCATGATGGAGTTAAACTATGGTGTTTTCTATAGAAAGTCAAACTAGGGTGTTCTTTGGAAAGTCAAAATTTGGATGTTCTGGTATAGAGAGAATATGGGTTATTTATTTATTATTTTTTTTGTAAGAGAGTTATACTAATGGGGGTTTTATAAAGCATCAAACTATAGTGGGTTTGCTTGAACCCTTACCTAATTCAATCCAAGATACACTATCCCATTCTGGTATTTGATGGACTCAAGAGTGTAACACAGGTGCGACTATTAGTTATTATTCAGGGATGATTATTTAAGTTTTGATATCCAATTGTTAGTTGCTGGCGATCTACTTCTACTGGAAATGCCCCTCTAAGGTGCTTCTGGTAAATAATTCTTTTTTATATTTTATGTGTTTATGACTTGATTAGTTAATGCCTCAATGAAAATGAGATGAATATATGTTGAAGACATTTTATTTTCAGTTTATATAACGACTGTTCCTTCTTTTTTGAACTTTTAGAACAGTTTTCCTCTTCTAAACAGAATCTTAACCACCAGAATGTATGTAAACAGTTAGAATCATCAGTTATTGAATCACTTATAGTAGATAATTCTGTCAAATATGAACTTGTATTTATTATTATGTGAAACTCTATGAGTATAATTGCTGATAACGTTTACAGGATTTTAACTTTTTTTTCCCCATTTATCTATTTGAAGCAGCAGAAGCTTTTCGAGGAAAAAAGAACATCAATCTAAACAGAATTGAACGGTGCTGATATATCTATACCCGCAAGCTAATTAGTGCTTAGCCTCTGTAGTCTGGTAGTCCTTCCCACCTTAAAATCTTCCGTGAGGTTCTGATTTTCTGATTTGTTAATCCTCTTCAGAAGTCTTTTCAAACATGATTAATGATTTTCATTGGCTTTCCTTCATTAGCTTCATAAGGTAAGACAACACTTCATTCGTATCAGGTCGATCCTCAGGGTTGGGGTTGGTGCAAATCAAGGCTAGCTTAAATAGTTCTTCCAGCACTTTCACCTGCTTTTCAGAGATATTCATAGCTAGTGTAGGGTCTGTGATTCGAAGAATCCCATTGATTCTGTCTGCCATCGCCTTCTCCACAAGTTGACACAAACTGATTGGCATCCCATCCTCTTCGTTGAGTCCCGTTGGCCTTCGTTTAGTTAGAAACTCAATCACTATTATACCAAAGCTGAATACATCTACTTTAGTAGTCACTTTCCTCATATATGCAAACTCTGATGAGAACACAAACATAATTTAGTAAACTGAGAAACTGTATGAATCAGATAGATTGATTCAAATCTGATTTTGTTTGCTTAGATGAAAATTGAAATAATAGAATTGATACTTATAATCATGACATATGAGAAGTGATGATATGAGATTTATACAGGAGTGAAGAAAGATTACCTGGTGCCATGTAGCCAATAGTGCCTTCAAAAGCTGATGAGGAAATGCTACTTTCTCCCTGCAGATGAACACCCAACATTCGAGCTGTTCCGAAATCACTCACGTGGGCCTCCCACTCTGCGTCTAAAAGAACGTTTGAAGGCTTCAAGTCACAATGAACAATTGGGAAATCATAACCAGAGTGCAAGTAATCCAATGCAGTTGCAATGGAAATAAAAACATCAATTCTTTTTGACATCGTCCACCTTGATTTATCCACCCCAGTCTCATGTATTATGCTCTCCAAGTTTCCATTTTCCATGTATTCCAGGACCAAAGCCTTCAGTTTTCCACTCTCCCAAGCATATCCCAGTACCTTCACCAGATTCCTATGCTTCAACTTCCTCAAGGTTTTGGCTTCTCGGTAGAACAACTTATCAGACTCAGCCGACAACTGATGCAAATTTAGTCTTTTTACTGCTATGATCTGCCCATCTTCTAGTTGACCCCTGTACACAGTACTCAAACTGCTAGTTCCAAGAATATTATTTTCACCGAAGGAACCAGTAGCATTTTCTAGTTCACTTCGGTCAAACCTCTTTAGTGTTAATGCCGAAGTGAGGTCTGGTTCTGGATCCTTAACCCTTTCTTCTTTACGCTTTTTTGTATATCGATAGAGTATTGAAATCACAAATACCAAAACTAGAAGAATTGAAACAGAGCCAAGTACCAGGAGAATCAACTTCGTCTTGTTGGATAGCTGGTGTGAGCTTCTCATGCTGCATGATTTGAAAAACTTTGTTCCACAGAGTGCTGGATTTCCCTGCAAATCAGATGCGTTTATGCTTCTAAATATGCCCGTCTCAGGAATGTGGCCTTCAAGGTGATTGAAGGAAAGATTCAGGGTTTTCAGGGTGGAAAGGTTGGCAAAGCTTTCGGGGATGATGCCCACCAAGTTGTTCTGAGAAAGGTCTAGTGAGCTAAGATTCTTCAGATTTGCTAGCTCTTCAGGGATTTCCCCATCTAAATTATTTCTCGAAAGGTTCAAGCTTGTAAGCACATCCATTCCTCTAAAAACTTCAACAGGGATTTCACCAGAAAGTTTGTTTCCTGACACATCAAGAGAGAACAAGTTTCTGCACCCCTTGAGCATTTTAGGAATGTTCCCTGAAAAATTATTATTTGAAATGTCAATGGCTTGTGCCATTTCCAGCATACCAAGCTCAACTGGTATACTTCCCTCCAAGTAATTGTATGACAAGTTCAAATATATCTGTATATTCTTCAAACTTGCTACCACTGATCCAGAAACCGATCCTGTTAGATGGTTGTGAGAGAGATCCAAGGACATAAGTCGGTCAAGACGCTCCAAGCTTCTCGGAATGGATCCGTTAAGCTTGTTGCCTTGGAGGTTCAAGTATGAAAGCGACTCAAGTTTTGAGATAGAATTTGAAATTGAACCAGTAAACTTGTTGAGCTGCAAATAAAGAAATGTTAGATACTTGAGATCAAATAATTTCTCAGGTATCATACCCTCGAGGCCATTGTCACGTAGAGAGAGTCCTTGAAGGAGAGAAAGCTTGGATAATTCCGGTGGAAGAAGTCCTGTGAAGCTATTTTCTGGAAGAGATAAGGACATGAGGCGACTTAAATTGCCAATCTCCGGTGGGATTGGCCCGACAAATGAATTCATGCCAGTTCCCAAAATCTTGAGATTATAGAGATTCCCAATACCTGGTTTTAGTAATCCACTAAAATTGTTCTCACTCAAGGATAGAGTTTGAAGATTTGAGCAATTGAAAAGGTCATCAGGAAGTTCTCCTGACATCCTGTTTGTCCCCAGGGATAGGAATGTTAGGTTTCGCAATTGTCCCAAACTGTTGGGAATTTTCCCCGTTATCCTATTAAAGGCTAAACCTATAACTTCAAGATGGGTACAATTGGTGATACTGACTGGAATGGATCCTTCAAGAAGATTGTTATTCATGGTCAGGTTTTTCAAGTTATATAGCAATCCAATGTTTGATGGAAGCTCCCCGGTGAGGGTGTTAAAGCTCATTGACAAGTATGTTAAATTTGTCAAGTTTGTTATGGAAGAAGGAATCTCTCCACTAAACTTATTGGAATGCAGGGTCAATACTTGTAATGACCTCAAAGAACCTATCTCATGAGGCACTGTGCCAGTTAACTCATTTTCTGAAAGTCCTAAACGTGTTAATGATTTCAACTGGAACAAGGCAAGTGGGATTGTGGAATTCAACCTATTGTCATAGACACGCAATTTTTCCAAGTGAACTAAATTTCCAAGCTCAGATGGAATGCTTCCAGTGAACTGATTGCTATATAGTTCAAGACTGAGAAGCTTTTGACAACGACCTAGTTCAGGTGGGATTTTTCCCCCAATTGAATTTTCAAACAGCAAAAGATTTTGTAAGTTTGACAGATTTCCTATCTCTGGAGGTATTGTTCCTGACAACATGTTTTGACTCAAGTCTAAATCCTGCAAAGCTTCCAGTCTACCTATAGAAGCTGGTATTGAACCTACTAGCTTGTTGGTGTAAAGATACAACATTTGAAGACTAATCAAATTTCCTATGTTTTGAGGGATTGTGCCAGTAAGATTGTTCAATATGAGAGCAACTGCTAACAAAGATGTGCAGTTGCAAATGCTTTCAGGTATAGTTCCATTCAGGTGATTATTACTTAAATCTACTAACTGTAGTTTTTGAAGGTCTCCTATTTCTGCTGGAATTTGACCAGAAAGATAATTAGAGACTAGAACTAACTGAGAAAGCTGGGAACATTGCCCCAGCTGAGCTGGAATACTCCCGGAGAAAAAGTTCAAAGTTAAATCAAGAACCTGGAGAGCTGAAAGGTTTCCAAGGAAAGGAGATATCTGGCCTTCAAGCTGCTTGTCCACAAGCGATATCGAAACGGCAAGATTGGAGGAAGGATCACAAGCGATGCCAGTCCAGTTGCAAAGATGGTTTGTGTCGGTCCAATTTGCAAGTGCTCCTAAAGGGTCATCAGTGATGGCATTCTTGAAGGCCTTCAAGGCTTCACTTTCGACTTCTAAGCTTGGCTTTGCCTGCAAACAACTGACAAACAGAGAGCAAAATAGGACAATGATCAAGCTTACACTTGGAGACACCATTGCCAGAGAAATTATGAAACTGCTATGTAGGTCTGGTACAAAGTTACAAGTTTATATAGAGAACTCATTCACATTAATGGTCCCATAATCTTCAGTGTATAAAAGAAATCTAACGTCCGAAGTTCAGTCAAGTCAAGAAAATACGATACTTTGAACCTTGAACTGAATTTTTGTAATATCTTTCGTGAATTATGCAAAAGTCTACTGGTTTTCATATACTGATAAAGTCATATATATCTATAGAATCCCAAGTATAACTTATTCAAAACCTAAACAAAAATCTTAAACCCCACCAATAAGATAATGTCACAATCAAAGCAAATCCTGGTGACCAATTAATTTATTCAATAAACAAGTACTTATTTGATTGATCAGTGAAGTCTGATATAGTGGCTTAACGCGCAGTGATGGCAGTATTTGACCCTGCGCCACTAATATGCAAGTGGCAAATAAAAGGCCAAAAATCGTATGGGTACTCTCAGAAAGGGAAAGGACAGAGATGAGAGCACCTTTTTTATTTTGCCATGTATATTATTCATTGATTTTGTTTCTGATAAATTTCACTCTTTTGTATTTAATATATTTGAAACTATGGGCAGTACCTGGAGTAGTAGTTATACCAGTACCAAAACAATGTCCTTTCTAGAGCTTATCAAAGGGGTGCCTGTGAGGCTGTGACTGTGAGCCTCTCAAGCTTAATGAGACATGGTTTGTCTAAGATTCTCTTCTGTATTTTAACTCTTATGATTAAGCTTGACCAAAGCTAAGAGTAAACTAAGACAAGTGTTTACCGAATATAAATTCTATTAGTTTAATGATTGAAGTAACCATTTGAATTGCTTGGAAGCTGCTAGGAAGTCATTGAGTGTTTGACTGTGCAGAATGTGTTGTTGCCAGTCTGCCAACCTTTTGCAAGTTGGATATATAAAACATGCTTATGTGGTTGGATGAGTAAGGCAAAAGATAGAGATGAAAGAGAGGATTTGCCGATTCTGTCGACGTGTTTGGGGCCCCATAATCTGTGTCCTATATTACTATTTATTGAAGAGTTGCGTCGGTGTGAGGGGAAGTATTTTGTTTTTCCTAAATTTCAGATTTGAATTTGCTACCTTATTCGAAACTCTTTCTGGTTATTTGAGATTTATTGAAAATTTTGCTGAAGTTTTACCGACAAATGGATTGATCATTCAGAAATTCTAGGGAAATTTGTCATACAAGAGATCTATGTGCTGTAATATGCATCGTCCTAGCTTGGATGACAAGTTTCAATATATCTGTATTTCTTCAAACTTTCTCCACAAGACCCAAACTGATCCTGTTAGTGGTTTGTGAGAGATCCAAGGACATAAGTCGGTCAAGACGCTCCAAGCTTCTCGAATGGATCCGTAAGCTTGTTGCCTTGGAGGTTCAGTATGAAAGGACTCAAGTTTTGAGATAGAATTTGAAATTGGACCAGTCAACTTGTTGTGCTGCAAATAAAGAATGTTAGATACTTGAGATTCAAATAATTTCTCAGGTATCATACCCTCGGCCATTGTCACGTAGAGAGAGTCCTTGAAGGAGAGAAAGCTTGGATATTCCGGTGGAAGAAGTCCTGAAGCTATTTTCTGGAAGAGATAAGGACATGAGGCGACTTAAATTGCCATCTCCGGTGGGATGGCCCGACAAAATGAATTCATGCCAGTTTCCCCAAATTTGAGATTATAGAGATTCCCAATACCTGGTTTTAGTAATCCCTAAATTGTTCTCACTCAAGAGAGTTTGAAGATTTGAGCAATTGAAAGGTCATCAGGAAGTTCTCCTGACATCCTGTTTGCCCCCAGGATAGGAATGTTAGGTTTCGCAATTGTCCCAACTGTTGGGAATTTTTCCCCGTTATCCTATTAAAGCTAAACCGATCGGGTTTTATAAAGCATCAAACTATAGTGGGTTTGCTTGAACCCTTACCTAATTCAATCCAAGATAAACTATCCCATTCTGGTATTTGATGGACTCAAGAGTGTAACACAGGTGCGACTATTAGTTATTATTCAGGGATGATTATTTAAGTTTTGATATCCAATTGTTAGTTGCTGGCGATCTACTTCTACTGGAAATGCCCCTCTAAGGTGCTTCTGGTAAATAATTCTTTTTTATATTTTATGTGTTTATGACTTGATTAGTTAATGCCTCAATGAAAATGAGATGAATATATGTTGAAGACATTTTATTTTCAGTTTATATAACGACTGTTCCTTCTTTTTTGAACTTTTAGAACAGTTTTCCTCTTCTAAACAGAATCTTAACCACCAGAATGTATGTAAACAGTTAGAATCATCAGTTATTGAATCACTTATAGTAGATAATTCTGTCAAATATGAACTTGTATTTATTATTATGTGAAACTCTATGAGTATAATTGCTGATAACGTTTACAGGATTTTAACTTTTTTTTCCCCATTTATCTATTTGAAGCAGCAGAAGCTTTTCGAGGAAAAAAGAACATCAATCTAAACAGAATTGAACGGTGCTGATATATCTATACCCGCAAGCTAATTAGTGCTTAGCCTCTGTAGTCTGGTAGTCCTTCCCACCTTAAAATCTTCCGTGAGGTTCTGATTTTCTGATTTGTTAATCCTCTTCAGAAGTCTTTTCAAACATGATTAATGATTTTCATTGGCTTTCCTTCATTAGCTTCATAAGGTAAGACAACACTTCATTCGTATCAGGTCGATCCTCAGGGTTGGGGTTGGTGCAAATCAAGGCTAGCTTAAATAGTTCTTCCAGCACTTTCACCTGCTTTTCAGAGATATTCATAGCTAGTGTAGGGTCTGTGATTCGAAGAATCCCATTGATTCTGTCTGCCATCGCCTTCTCCACAAGTTGACACAAACTGATTGGCATCCCATCCTCTTCGTTGAGTCCCGTTGGCCTTCGTTTAGTTAGAAACTCAATCACTATTATACCAAAGCTGAATACATCTACTTTAGTAGTCACTTTCCTCATATATGCAAACTCTGATGAGAACACAAACATAATTTAGTAAACTGAGAAACTGTATGAATCAGATAGATTGATTCAAATCTGATTTTGTTTGCTTAGATGAAAATTGAAATAATAGAATTGATACTTATAATCATGACATATGAGAAGTGATGATATGAGATTTATACAGGAGTGAAGAAAGATTACCTGGTGCCATGTAGCCAATAGTGCCTTCAAAAGCTGATGAGGAAATGCTACTTTCTCCCTGCAGATGAACACCCAACATTCGAGCTGTTCCGAAATCACTCACGTGGGCCTCCCACTCTGCGTCTAAAAGAACGTTTGAAGGCTTCAAGTCACAATGAACAATTGGGAAATCATAACCAGAGTGCAAGTAATCCAATGCAGTTGCAATGGAAATAAAAACATCAATTCTTTTTGACATCGTCCACCTTGATTTATCCACCCCAGTCTCATGTATTATGCTCTCCAAGTTTCCATTTTCCATGTATTCCAGGACCAAAGCCTTCAGTTTTCCACTCTCCCAAGCATATCCCAGTACCTTCACCAGATTCCTATGCTTCAACTTCCTCAAGGTTTTGGCTTCTCGGTAGAACAACTTATCAGACTCAGCCGACAACTGATGCAAATTTAGTCTTTTTACTGCTATGATCTGCCCATCTTCTAGTTGACCCCTGTACACAGTACTCAAACTGCTAGTTCCAAGAATATTATTTTCACCGAAGGAACCAGTAGCATTTTCTAGTTCACTTCGGTCAAACCTCTTTAGTGTTAATGCCGAAGTGAGGTCTGGTTCTGGATCCTTAACCCTTTCTTCTTTACGCTTTTTTGTATATCGATAGAGTATTGAAATCACAAATACCAAAACTAGAAGAATTGAAACAGAGCCAAGTACCAGGAGAATCAACTTCGTCTTGTTGGATAGCTGGTGTGAGCTTCTCATGCTGCATGATTTGAAAAACTTTGTTCCACAGAGTGCTGGATTTCCCTGCAAATCAGATGCGTTTATGCTTCTAAATATGCCCGTCTCAGGAATGTGGCCTTCAAGGTGATTGAAGGAAAGATTCAGGGTTTTCAGGGTGGAAAGGTTGGCAAAGCTTTCGGGGATGATGCCCACCAAGTTGTTCTGAGAAAGGTCTAGTGAGCTAAGATTCTTCAGATTTGCTAGCTCTTCAGGGATTTCCCCATCTAAATTATTTCTCGAAAGGTTCAAGCTTGTAAGCACATCCATTCCTCTAAAAACTTCAACAGGGATTTCACCAGAAAGTTTGTTTCCTGACACATCAAGAGAGAACAAGTTTCTGCACCCCTTGAGCATTTTAGGAATGTTCCCTGAAAAATTATTATTTGAAATGTCAATGGCTTGTGCCATTTCCAGCATACCAAGCTCAACTGGTATACTTCCCTCCAAGTAATTGTATGACAAGTTCAAATATATCTGTATATTCTTCAAACTTGCTACCACAGACCCAGAAACTGATCCTGTTAGATGGTTGTGAGAGAGATCCAAGGACATAAGTCGGTCAAGACGCTCCAAGCTTCTCGGAATGGATCCGTAAAGCTTGTTGCCTTGGAGGTTCAAGTATGAAAGTGACTCAAGTTTTGAGATAGAATTTGAAATTGAACCAGTAAACTTGTTGTGCTGCAAATAAAGAATTGTTAGATACTTGAGATCAAATAATTTCTCAGGTATCATACCCTCGAGGCCATTGTCATGTAGAGAGAGTCCTTGAAGGAGAGAAAGCTTGGATAATTCCGGTGGAAGAAGTCCTGTGAAGCTATTTTCTGGAAGAGATAAGGACATGAGGCGACTTAAATTGCCAATCTCTGGTGGGATTGGCCCGACAAATGAATTCATGCCAGTTCCCAAAATCTTGAGATTATAGAGATTCCCAATACCTGGTTTTAGTAATCCACTAAAATTGTTCTCACTCAATGATAGAGTTTGAAGATTTGAGCAATTGAAAAGGTCATCAGGAAGTTCTCCTGACATCCTGTTTGTCCCCAGGGATAGGAATGTTAGGTTTCGCAATTGTCCCAAACTGTTGGGAATTTTCCCCGTTATCCTATTAAAGGCTAAACCTATAACTTCAAGATGGGTACAATTGGTGATACTGACTGGAATGGATCCTTCAAGAAGATTGTTATTCATGGTCAGGTTTTTCAAGTTATATAGCAATCCAATGTTTGATGGAA